TGTAAACACTGTGTTGCTATGGTGACTAGTTGATACCATAGCAGCTGAACCAGTCCCGGACCAGCACCTTGGAAATGGGGCTATTAATTTTCAATTTGATTAGATAGAAAAATTCAAAGTTATGAAGCCCTAAAAAGGTACATGAGCTGCGTACCAAACATTATTGTAATCCCCATCATTATTTACAAGTGATTTATATATTAGTAGCATTTTAATTCATTTCTAAACAGGCACATATTGGATTTTGATGATAAATGACGTCTAAACACGCTCCAGCCCAAACTCGATGGGAGAAAAAAATTAGAAATGGTGGCTCACAGGGCTCTTTCTTACACATAACAGATAAAATGGTTTTCTAATAGACAGAGCACAGCATGAGTTTAAGACTTTCTGTTGGGACAAACATTAGTATTAATTTAGTACATGAGAAAGCTAGGCACGAAAAAGTACACTATTGAAACTGTTAAAATATTACCATCACAACAAGGCAAGCCTCTGCTAGCTTATATTTCAGGCATTCCAACGTACAAAAACCTGGTTATATATATAAAAATACATTAAAGTGCCCGATCTCTGAACTACTGATTCTATGACTGAAGCAGGTGGTGTGGCGCCCTCTGCTGTCCAATCCACAACACTGCAGAGGCACAATCTTTGCCAATAGCTTTCCCCCTGCGAGCATCTAGACCCAAACGAAACACACACACACAAGTAGGAGTTTAAGATCTGGACTGGTTTTGGGTCCAGAGCAAACAGCCGCCGCAGTGAAGTGGTGATGAGAGGCGAGCTCCGGGAACAGCTGTAACAGAAGCTCCAACAAACGAGACGGACCAGATTCCAGGCCCTCGGCTCGACACCTCCAGCGCAGAGGAGATTAGAACGCAGCGTTTGCACAAGTCTGAGGCGTGAAACCGTTCATTTAAGTGCAATACGAACCGATACGAGGAGAGAAGTGGTGCAATACGTATGGTCCAGCTCAATAATGTACAGTAGTGTATTGTAAGCTAGGAAAAAGAACATGACATTTGGCCATCTTTGTTTTATCTATTTTTGTATTATATCAAAGTGAATTTATATACAGTGCCTTGCGAAAGTATTCGGCCCCCTTGAACCTTTCAACATTTTGCCACATTTCAGGCTTCAAACATAAAGATATACAATTTTATTGTATATCTTGAATCAACAACAAGTGGGACACAACCATGAAGTGGAACGAAATTTATTGGATAATTTAAAAAAAATTATAAAATAAAAAAGTGAAAAATGGGGCGTGCAATATTATTTGGCCCCTTTACTTTCAGTGCAGCAAACTCACTCCAGAAGTTCAGTGAGGATCTTTGAATGATCCAATGTTGTCCTAAATGACTGATGATGATAAATAGAATGCACCTGTGTGTAATCAAGTCTCCGTATAAATGCACCTGCTCTTTGATAGTCTCAGGGTTCTGTTTAAAGCGCAGAGAGAACCATGAAGACAAAGGAACACACCAGGCAGGCCCGAGATACTGTTGTGGAGAAGTTCAAAGCTGGATTTGGATACAAAAAGATTTCCCAAGCTTTAGACATCTCAAGGAGCACTGTGCAAGCAATTATATTGAAATGGAAGGAGTATCAGACCACTGCAAATCTACCAAGACCCGGCCGTCCCTCCAAACTTTCATCTCAAACAAGGAGAAGACTGATCAGAGATGCAGCCAAGAGGCCCATGATCACTCTGGATGAACTGCAGATAACTACAGCTGAGGTGGGAGAGTCTGTCCATAGGACAACAATCAGTCGTGCACTGCACAAATCTGGCCTTTATGGAAGAGTGGCAAGAAGAAAGCCATTTCTCAAAGATATCCATAAAAAGTCTTGTTTAAAGTTTGCCACAAGCCACCTGGGAGACACACCAAACATGTGGAAGAAGGTGCTCTGGTCAGATGAAACCAAAATCGAACTTTTTGGCCACAATGCAAAACGATATGTTTGGCGTAAAAGCAACACAGCTCATCACCCTGAACACACCATCCCCACTGTCAAACATGGTGGTGGCAGCATCATGGTTTGGACCTGCTTTTCTTCAGCAGGGACAGGGAAGATTGCTAAAATTGATGGGAAGATGGATGGAGCCAAATACAAGACCATTCTGGAAGAAAACCTGTTGGAGTCTGCAAAAGACCTGAGACTGGGACGGAGATTTATCTTCCAACAGGACAATGATCCGAAACATGAAGCCAAATCTACAATGGAATGGTTCACAAATAGACGTATCCAGGTGTTAGAATGGCCAAGTCAAAGTCCAGACCTGAATCCAATCGAGAATCTGTGGAAAGAGCTGAAGACTGCTGTTCACAAACGCTCTCCATCCAACCTCACTGAGCTCGAGCTGTTTTGCAAGGAAGAATGGGCAAGAATTCCAGTCTCTCGCAGTGCAAAACTGATAGAGACATACCCCAAGCGACTTGCAGCTGTAATTGCAGCAAAAGGTGGCGCTACAAAGTATTAGCGCAAAGGGGCCGAATAATATTGCACGCCCCACTTTTCACTTTTTTATTTGTTAAAAAAGTTTAAATTATCCAATCAATTTCGTTCCACTTCACGATTGTGTCCCACTTGTTGTTGAATCTTGACAAAAAATGTAATTTTTATATCTTTATGTTTGAAGCCTGAAATGTGGCGAAATGTTGAAAGGTTCAAGGGGGCCGAATACTTTCGCAAGGCACTGTAAGATGCTTGCATTCTGATATTGGCGCAACTTCACAAATTACTATCTTTTTTTTTGATGTTTTGACTTGAGGTTTTTTTGTTTTTATTATTTAAAGTTAGAGCAGAGAACAACTAGAAAAAAACAGTAAACATACCATAGATGAATACATAAAGTAATACAAAACCCTAACACGCCTCAAATGCTATTTACTGTGTGTGTGTGTGTGTGTGTGTGTATATATAGATTTGGGGGGGAATTTTTGTGTCTGATTTAGACTTTTAAAACTTGTCCCAACGCAAGCAGCTCAAATGAACTCAAATACATGAATTGAATAAACAAATATTCTAATTGCAATTACGAATCTTACAGTACAGTGTGTGATGTTGTGGTGATTGGACAGATTGTGAGTCCTTCTGCTGCTCTTACCTTCGTGGCTGTGATCGACGGTCATCCTCCCCACTGCCGGACTCCTGGGAAAAAGATAAACACACATTATGATTTGCCCAAAGGATTTTAAAGATTAAAGCTGAGGGACCTTTTTTGTTTCATAAAGAAAAAGCAGACCACATGCAGTCTTTATCCCAATAGAAAATACTGAATCGTTTGCGCAGGAAAGCTGATTGGCCGAGTGAAGGGGGCCATTTTGATTTATTTCATGTATTTATTTAGAAGGGCACACAATCAACATGTGAAATACTACAACATTTACTGCCACGGATAATTTAAAATGTCTGAGCCCGAGTACTGGGTCTACAGCCTCAGTCCTGGGTCTACAGCCTCAGTCCTGGGTCTACAGCCTCAGTCCTGGGTCTACAGCCTCAGTCCTGGGTCTACAGCCTCAGTCCTGGGTCTACAGCCTCAGCCTCAGTCCTGGGTCTACAGCCTCAGCCTCAGTCCTGGGTCTACAGCCTCAGCCTCAGTCCTGGGTCTACAGCCTCAGTCCTGGGTCTACAGCCTCAGTCCTGGGACTACAGCCTCAGTCCTGGGACTACAGCCTCAGTCCTGGGTCTACAGCCTCAGTCCTGGGACTACAGCCTCAGTCCTGGGTCTACAGCCTCAGTCCTGGGTCTACAGCCTCAGTCCTGGGTCTACAGCCTCAGCCTCAGTCCTGGGTCTACAGCCTCAGTCCTGGGTCTACAGCCTCAGTCCTGGGACTACAGCCTCAGTCCTGGGACTATAGCCTCAGTCCTGGGACTACAGCCTCAGTCCTGGGTCTACAGCCTCAGTCCTGGGTCTACAGCCTCAGTCCTGGGTCTACAGCCTCAGTCCTGGGTCTACAGCCTCAGTCCTGGATCTACAGCCTGTCCATCCGTGGGAGTGGATCCCTCTTTCAATATGGGGCTCCCGAAGTTTCTCAATTTTTCCCCTGGATTTTATTTGAGTTGTTTCTTGCCGATGCAGAAGGGTCTAAGGACAGTGAAGATATTATCTTATAGCTCCTATGTGTTTGTTATTATTGCATGTCCTGATTTTCTGACATGTTGTAGGCGAACGGACAACTTTTGTAATTTAGGGCTATACAAAAATAAAATGAATTGCATTAACAATCATCACATACAAACGTACACAACTTTATTATTACCTCATTATGCCCAATATATATATATATATATATATATATATATATATATATATATATATATATTGTACGCAGACTAGGACTGGGCAATAAATCAAATTTAGGCAATTAATCGGCTTTAAAAAAAATCGAATGGGAAAAATGGGAAAATTGTGAAATCAAATGAAGGATATTGTGAGAGCAGCACATGAATTATACTTTCAATATCAGCACAGTCTGTACAACACTTTTGTATTACATATTGGGGGAATCAAATTAAATATAGTTTTGAAACTTGAATATTGAGCGGAAAGATCATAAAATATTTTTATGGGCAAAGTTTGTCTTTGGTGACTTTAATGAAAATCAATTTAAAATCTAAATCGTCCAAAGTTTTTTGACATATCGCCCAGCCCAAACGCAGACATATTGTTTTTTGCATGTATGAAAAGATCAGAGGAAGTTTCTCAAGCCTATGGAAATAGTGAGCGCCACAGACTAAACAAGGACAGTCTGCAGAGCGAGCAGTTTCATTCACGGGTTTCGGTCGAGAGTCGAGACAGAGACGCACAATAATAGTCCGATCCACAAGGACAGTAGACATGAACAATAATTGCAATATGTGAAAATAAAACTGTAGTGTAACCTCAGTCCTGGGTCTACAGCCTTAGTCCTGGGTGGGTGGGGCTGCAGCCTCAGTCCTGGGTGCTCTGATGTAGACTCATGTGTTTAAATCTGTGTGTGGTTCATCAGGGTGGAGTATGTCACCATCACGCCCGACGGCTTCAGATATCGCTCTCAAGTATTCTCCTCGGTCAACGGACTGTTCCGATGGTTCAAGGATCACTACCAGGAGCCTGTGCCAGGTATTTCACATATGTATACACGAATAAGTTGTATTTTTGTAGTAGTAGTAGCAGTAGGAGTAGTAGTAGCAGTAGGAGTAGGAGTAGCAGTAGTAGCAGTAGTAGTAGCAGCAGTATTAGCAATAGCAGCAGTATTAGTAGCAGTAGTAGTAGCAGCAGTATTAGCAATAGTAGCAGTAGTAGTAGCAGCAGTATTAGTAGTAGCAGTAGTAGTAGCAGCAGTATTAGCAATAGTAGCAGTAGTAGTAGCAGCAGAATTAGTAGCAGTAGTAGTAGCAGCAGTATTAGTAGCAGTAGTAGTAGCAGCAGTATTAGTAGCAGTAGTAGCAGCAGTATTAGCAATAGTAGCAGTAGTAGTAGCAGCAGAATTAGTAGCAGTAGTAGTAGCAGCAGTATTAGTAGCAGTAGTAGTAGCAGTTTTAGTAGTAGTAGCAGTATTAGTAGCAGTAGTAGTAGCAGTTTTAGTAGTAGTAGCAGTAGGAGTAGCAGCAGCATTAGCAGCACTAGTAGTTGTAGCAGTTTTAGCAGCAGTATTAGTAGTAGTAATAGTAGCTTGTGAGCGAGTTACTTGAGTAACTATCAAAGCGTCTAACCTCGTGCTGTGTTTAGGAATAACTCCGAGTAACAGCAGCAGAACCAGGACGCCGGCGTCTCTGACCACGACTCCAGCCAACATCAACATCGCAGGTTTGTCTCGGCGGTTTCACTCGGTTACTTTGTCCTGTTTACATTTACAGACATAATACATTCCACATATTCAACAATTTCATGGTCATTCCTCAATTGTACAATGTTTGAAGAAAAATGATTCTAAGATAAATGTCCAAACTGGGTAATGTAATCACCAGGGTTTGTCTGTTTGTTGGTAGGATAAGGTATTTTTCAAAGGTATTCAAAGGTATTTTTAGAGGTTATCCGGATCTCCTTCTGGATTAGGGCTGGGCTGTTTGCAGCGACTTAAATTTGATTGGATTTAGTAAATGAATATCAAAAGAAGAGAAATGTCAATGTTGCAGTTCACAGGACAGTAGTACGAGCACGCAGGGAGCACACAATACAAGTAGCTGCTCTGTTTCTTAGCTAGCTGTAAACGCTAATGGTCGATGCAAATATATTTCATTCATTGAGGATTGAAAAAAGGATGACACACGCACACTGTCTAACTTGCAAACCCCAGTGGTTTATTAGCAACGTCATTCATTCAGGATTAAAATATCCAAATGTTAAAATATTAGAGAACATTTTAAAATAATACAAAATAGTAAGTTCAGAGTAACATTAAAGAGTAAATTAAAAAATGTAGGATTCAAAAACACTGATATTTATCTAAAAATCGTATCTTTTCGCACACCCCAGGTCTGGATCCATTTAAGGAGCAAAGCTATCGATAACTTTTCTGATTTGTAGTGTCTTGGAACATTGAGTCTCCATATTTATTTTTATAAAACAGATCTTTTAACAATTTGAATGAATACAAATGTGAGTAAATTAATTAACCACTGTCAAAATAACAAAATTAACATGCCTCAAAATAAACATGTTTTTGTTTTTTCCATTTGTTTTGCACTAAGAATACACCCTCCCTCTATATTTCTCTATTTCTCATTCTCCTTGGTTCCCTCTCCTCTCGCAGACCTGACGCGGGCTGTCAACGCGCTGCCGCGGAACATGACGTCTCAGATGTTCAACGCCATCGCCGCGGTAACGGGCCAGACCCAGAACGCCAACTCGACCCCGGCTCAGTGGGGCTCGAGTCAGTACGGCTACGGAGGAGGAGGAGGCGGCGGCAGCACCGGGGGCGGGGGCAGCTCCTCCGCGTACCATGTGAGTGTGCTCCTCACTCCCACCAGCAGAGGGCGTGTGACTGTCTATGGATCTTACACTTACTGTCTATGGCTCTTACAGCAGGTTAAACATGTGGAATTATGGGAAATATGTTTACAATTCATTTTCATTTCAATTTATTTTGTATATTTGTCTTAAATCACAACACCAGTCACATTGGAGGACTTTACAAAATTGTCGAATCACCAAAAACAGATCAGAAAATGAAACGAATAAAACAGAAACCAGATTTGTTTCTGTAATACAATAGGGTGACACGGGTTCAAAACTCTGGTCAGCACAGGGCCTTTCTGAGTGGAGTTTGCATGTTCTCCCTGTGTCTGCGTAGGTTTCCTCCAGGTGCTCCAGTTTCCCCGACCACTAAAAACATGCACAATAGACAAAATCCTCCAGCTCTGGTCCTGACCAACCGAGAATCTGGAGATAGAGGCCTTGGCAGCAATGAAGGATGGGTCAAATGCAGAGGAAAAATTTACCCACAGGGACAATAAAGTATAACTAAAAAAAATGAAATCTGACCCTTTAGGCCCCAAAGTTATGTCAGAAACTCGATATCAGAGCGTTCTGTCAGAAAACTCATGGCGGCGAGTGATGAATGATGTGCAGGAGACATGAAGACGTGAGAGATTAGCTCTGACAAATTGTTATAAATGAGTTAATTATGTTTTATAAGTGCTGCAGAGACACAGTGTTCAAGAGACGCCTCGGATAAACCTTTACAGTCAAACTCTTTCACTCTTCTCATAAGATCTGAAATCCACAAGTCGAGAATGGTGTAAATATTGGTCATTGAATTTTGCATCTAATATACTGTATCTACAAGTGGTTATAATTGTAATTAATGTAAAATATGTGTAATATTTTCATTTTTTTCAAAGATAATATTATGAACAGAACTCAAACTCTGGAAAAAGAATATTCAATTCATTTTAGTATAGGGAGGAATCACAGCAGCAGTCGTCTCGCAGGACTTCACTAAGTTGTCGATTCACCAACAACAGATCAGACAATCAAACATTTCAAACAGACACATTTGAGCCATTGGTCCATAGGGAGGTGGATGATCAATGTCCTAAATGTAAATAAATGTCCTGGGTCATCACTGTTTGGTAAATTAGTAAAGTTTGTATCTATTCTTGCAGTAGATTTTGATGTTTTTTTAATGTAAATATAAACACATTGATTTTAGACACATTTCTTAATAATAACTTCCTAAATCAAAATGTTTTTTTCCCATGGATTTTGTACTTTTTTATTACTTTATCCCAGTGTAGTATTTACATATTTTCTAAATGTCTCACCCACTGAAGACTTGAGGAAATATATGGACAGAGCTGGTGTGTGCTCCTGCTTTGTTGGAACGAAAACCTGCAGCCACACCGGCCCTTTGAACCAGTTTGACTCCCCCTGCACTAAACCCCGACCCACCTGTTGAGAATCACTGCTGTCGACCGAGATGTGAAATGTGCAGAATATAAAGGGGAGATAATAGTGTTTTCTGACTCGACCTCCTCAGTCTAAAGACCCGCTCTCTGCAGGTGTTCGCCACGCCGCAGCAGCCGATGGCCACCCCCCTGATGACGCCCAGCTACTCGTACACGACGCCGAGTCAGCAGCAGGTGATGGGGACGCCGCAGTACCCCAGCTCCACGCCGCAGTCCTCCCACCACCACGCAGGTCACATGGCGCAGCACGGTCACCACGGACACCACAGCACTCACCACGGCCACTCCTCTGGCACGCCGTCCTCCTCCACCTCCTCCAGGGCGCGCACTCCCCAACAGCAGCCAAAGTACGTTCTGTGTAATGCTAAAGGACTCCCAGAGCAGTCGTTTTGATGGCTCCCGTTAAATTCTATGTGATACTGGGGGAAGTTATTTTAAGGGTATTTTTTCTTCTTTTTTTTACCTTTTCTGACATTTATTAAGTGCTAAAACTGGTGAATATAACTTGAAATACAGACAAAACTTTAACTAAATTCAGACAATAAACACATTTTGGTTTCGGAAAATCAGACCACCGTAAACCAGAAAAATAGTGAAACTCATGTCTCATTAAACTAATTCATAACGTAAAAACAACTACAAAAAAACAATAAGAAAATGAAATTATCTCTATTCTTTCGGCCCCCGACAAGTTTCTAATTTTTTTATTCAGCCCCTGAGCAAAATGAGTTTGACAACCCCTGTATCTCTACTGTTTGACCCCTGATCTAACCCTGACCGGTGCCCTCTGTCTCCCCCTACAGGACAAACACAGGGAGCAGCTCTGCGGCCGTGGACTGGGGCAAAGTGGCCGAACAGTGGCTCAAAGAGAAAGAGGCGGAAGGAAGAAAGAAGACGCCGAGGATGACGCCGCGGCCCTCGCCCAGCCCCATGATCGAGAGCACGCCCATGTCTCTGGCCGGAGACGCCACGCCGCTGCTGGACGAGATGGACCGATAGGACTCTGCCCCCAGAACCTCATGAACTGGACTAATGTGACGTCAGAGAGAGTCCCGTGTACCTGGAGCTCTCACTGTTCTTTTATCCATGTCCTCAGTATCATGTTCTCTCACACTGCCCCCTACAGGCCGCTTCAGGCTAGTATTCTGTGAGGGAAACATCAGTCGTTACGTGACATAAAACACTTGAAGAATAAAACAGCAGTTGTTGAAAGGAAATGGACCTACAGACTCTGACCGCTGTTGTTCGTTTTGGTTTTAGTTTCAACAACGTTCTGTGACAGAGACACATTCACCATCGTTTTATTTTAGGATTGTGAGCGGAGGCCAACGGTGCTTTGCCAAACGCACCAGACTCACTTCTGTTTGACGTCAGAATGAATAAAGACTGGATTTTTCAGTTGTACTTACAGCCTGCGCTCACATGTGTCAAATACACACACACACACACGCACACATAAGTAAACCCAAACACACACACGTGTTACTAAACAAAGAAACATACACATACACATGTACACACACACACGTGTTACTAAAAAGACACATAAACTCAAACCCATGTAAACACACATACATATGCATACACACATGTGAACACAGACGCATACAAACACACACATGTACACAAACATGTAAACACAGACACACACATGTACATACATACATGTATGCATGCATTCACAAACGCACACATGTGAACACACACACATGTAAACACAGACATATACACACAGAGCTATTGCATGGGACTGAATGAACCCCAGGTCTAAAAGCCAGTGATAAAAGAGCAGCTTGTAGATATACTAACGCACCCTTTTATCTCTGACACTAAAGAAAATAATGTTTTAAAGTAACTGCGTGTCTGCGAGGCTTCTGTGTTATCTTTTTATTTCATTACTTCATAGACAAGAGTCATTTCACCACCGTTCACTAGGTTTGAGTGACACTGTTACAGTATTTCTACAGTTGAAGATTCTTCCTGTTTTGTAAAAGAAAAAGACAAAAGAACCTATGTTTAACCGCAGCTGCAAAACTCATGATCTTTATCCAAAAACTGTTGGAATAAACGTTTTTTTTATTTCTTGCTGCTGTATGATGTTGCATTCTTTTCATCCAGACTGTGACTGGTCTGTCTTCAGCGATGACCAGAAGGTGACGCGGTCGTTGACTTTTGACGATCTGTGACCCTTTAATAAAGTGTTCCTAATCAAACATGGCTCTTGTTAAGTGACAAAACAACGGCAGACATCAGTGGAAGTAGTTGGAGTAGGTCTTGTGGAGGGATCGAACCCATGTGTGTGCTTTATATTTTTCATGTGTTTTAACTGTTGATTCTCTGACCTGTGTTGGTGATTTCAATGGTTTTGTTAAGTCCTCTGAGATGACTTCTGTTGTGACCTAGGGCTATACAAGAATAAATTGTATTGTATTGTATGACTTTGAGGCTCAAAGGCTAAAGCTCGACCAACTGAACCATCATTTTACAGCTAAACTTTATTTTCTTTTGTCACTAACTGTTGCTATTGTAAAACTACTTTAAAAGTCATCTAACTACATCCACACAACCCTTTGCTCTCTCAGGATTGTGGGAGCTGCTGCTGCTGCTGTGTGAGAGCTGGAGAAATGCATTGTGGGAGTCAGAGGAGGTCATGAGAGCTGGCGTACGCATCACATTAGCAGCAACAGAGACACATGACTAGAGACGAGCAGAGATAACACATTTGGCACGGAGCAGGAAGTTTCAAAACTGTGACGGACAATTAAGGCACCAAATATGAACAACTTTAATGTTCAGATCTGTCCTCACTGGGATTCTAACAGTTCAAATAAGAAATATGATGCATTATGTTTAGCCAATAAAATCACAATACAATACAATGACAGTATGTAGATAATTTAATGTTCTAGAATGTGAAATAACATGTTGAAACAAGTATAAAGTAAAAAAAAAAATCTCTGCCTGTAACTCCTTATGCCACCACCAGAGGCAGGAGTTGGTTTATGTTTTTTCACAAATTTGAAATTACTGGCAGCAAACGGAGAAATTGCCAAAACTAATATATGTGCAACACTTTCGTTGCAAAAAGAAAAATCTATGGCGCCACCTGCATGTGAAAGCCAGATCACATCAGACCTCTCAAGCTGTGTAGGTCAGGGTCTGGTCAGTACTGTGATGGGAGACCGAACACCAGGTGCCACAGTGGGGCGGCTGCGGCCTGTAAGGTGTAAAGCCGTCGTTGTTTCCTTATAGGCAAGACCCGCATCAGCTCCTCAGACAAACACCAGACTCATTCTAGGCAATGTGGGTGAAGTGTCTTGCCTAAGGACACAATGACAGTTTGGCACTTTCACGTTGCCTCTGACGTTCCCCAAGGTCTCCCATCACAGTACTAACCAGGTCCTAACCAGCTTAGCTTGAGTGGTCCGACCAAATCTGGCTTTCACATGTAGAGGGCGCCACGCTTAAATTTGTAACCATTCTCCCGTGATGTCATCCTTTACAACCAGGAAGTACAAATATGAACATGAAAAACAAAGCCAAAATAGTTTGAAATTTGAAACAATTTTGTTGCACGTCCAGTTTGCAGTGCAACTTCTTCCGGTTAAGTGGTCTGGTCTACGTTTACAATCAGGTTATGCTGATAAATTCCTAGTAAGATAAGTCACGATTAAATTAGATTCAAGCTTTAATTGGGCAGTGTGTAGATAGTAGTCTCGTCTATCTCCAGGTTAGTCATGGTTCTCTCTGCAAAGACCTCACCGGGGTTCATCAGTCACATCTGCGGAGAGAAGACCCACCTCAGCGTAATATGGTTATTTTGGGCCATACAAATTTTATATTTTGTTCCAAGCAAAAGCAAAAACATCTCATCAGAAAGGTGGAGTTGCTCGAGCTACTGGTAATAGAATAATCTTTTCATCCTGGACCTTCTGAAATTGTTGTAAAAAAAAAGACTTCTCAGTCTGTGGTGTGATTCTCTGATAAGACTTCTTTGTAAAGTCCCCTGTGGTTGAATTGAATGTGGTCAATTCAGAAGAAAGTGCGAGGACTGCCTTTTTCTGCAGGCCGCATTTAGCCCCTGGGCCATAGTTTGGACCACCTGTTATAGACCAGTTCCCAACCTTTTTTGTCCTGTGTGCCCCCTCACCCGTTGTTAAAGTAAAAAAAATGTTTTTAGGTCAGTGTTTAGATGTTTGAAAATCCTTTCAAGTACTCTATACTCTTTGGTACTCCCTGTAAAACTCTAGGGGGCCATGTACCACTAAGCTGAAAAACAAATAATTATTATTATTCTAAGATTCAAATCCAGATAGATAATGTTTCTAGTCACTTATTAAAACTAGGACCCCAGAATTCTGAATCTAGAAGTAATCCCAGAGCCGTCATTTTGACTTCTCTAGTCAACGGAATTAGGAGAAATTCCTCCCAAATGATGTATTGTTATTTACCAGATTCAGTATTAAAATAAGTGATTTAAGTTTTTTATCAGATTTTTTTTTTGACCTGCAATTTCAGAAAGTCTACGGAATGGAATGTCACTTTAAAAAATAGATAGAAATATATTGATATATTGATATTGAAGCAGCAGTTACCGTATATACTTTGTTGGCTCCCTGTGTATTTTTACTACTGAAATGTTGAAATGTCCCCACTGTGGGACAAATAGAGGTTCTCTTACCTTATATTCACTTTGAAAAAACAAAAACTGGTGAATATAACTTGAAATATAACAAAAACTGTTGAAATGCTAACTGCTAACTTCTGTGTGTAAGTAAAAAGTGTGTTGCTTTGGTGACTAGCACTAGCAAAACAAGCTGGATCAGGATCAGTCCAGGACCAATGTGGTTTTACTGCAAATGGCAAACAAAGTGAATGTGAAAAGCCGTCTTATTGACTGCTCTGTGTTGCAGAGTGAGACCGGGGTAGAACTGGAGCGTGCTGTGAGACTCTGACAGCAGCAGCCGAGACAGAGCTGGGGTTTGTTGAAAGTCAGTTGACACAGATTCCACAGACGACACGCCGCTGAAGCATCTTGTTTTCGCTGCGTGTTTATGGGCTAACGTTCAGGACACATTCCTCCAGGACAGACGGACGCGTGAGATTCCCCCGTGAGATTTCAGCTCGTCATCAACAACAACTGGACTTGGACTTGGGATCGTCTGAGTTGTCCGTGATCCCTGCAACGAGACGCAGCACAAATGAGATGTACAGAATCACTAAATACTTTAACACTAAACGCCAAAAATGAAAAGCCGTCAAGTTGACTGCTCTAGGAGTCAATTTGACGGCTTTTCATTTTTTGGAAACGGTCCCAAATGCTCTATATGTAGTTTGCCATTATTTTGATGAATGACTCCCATAGCGGTCAATAGCAAATCGGTTCTGGACTGGTGGTTCTGAAATAATTGGGACCGGTTTTGGACTGGTTCTGGACCGGTCCTGGACTGATTTGAACAGGTTCTGAGTTAAGTCTGCTTTTTTGCCCACCTGAGTAGAGCAAGTGCTTGTTACTGTAGCAACACACTGTTTACTTTCCAGCTGTTAGCATTTGGTCTTTAGCATTAGCATTTTAACAAACAAAATTTCTGCTATATTTCAGGTTATATTAAACTTCGTAGCACTTACTAATGATGTCACCGTAAGGCTTCGACCCATTTTTCTCCAGTTCGGACAAAACGTTGGCCTCAAACGTCAGCGAAGCCACTCTGAAGAACAGGTCCTTCACTCCGTCTCCTGGGGCAGAACAGAGGCCTTCACACACCATGAACCATGAACCATCAACCTCCTGCTGCTGTGGTTCTGTGACAGTACTGGTCTCACCGGACTTTGCAGACACGGCCCAGTACTCGGCTTTGATTTCCTCTGAGAGCCTGATGGCCTCCCGCTCCAGAGTCTCCAGCTGATCCGGAGACTGGAGACACAATCAAGATTTTTATCATAATACATCTCTAGATACCCATTTTTTTTCTCTACTCTGCCTCCTCCGGGACTCCGTACTTATGGAGTCCCTGGTTTACATTTATATATTATTTTCTTAACCTAAAGATCAATTGGACACATTACCATCTAGATTGGTGGTTACTTTATTCTCAAAAGTGCAGAGATTCTTACGCTCAGGTCCTTCTTGGTGCCGACCAGAAAGAGTAAAACACTTGACGGGTCGTTTTCCTTCATGGAGTCCTCCAGCCACTGCCTGCGCACAAACACATTCTTTAACTCCAAGAATAAACTATTACAACTCCCAGAGCCGTCATTTTGACTGCTCCCCTTCAAACTAATCGAATTTGGAGATTTCTCCTAAAAAATGTATAGTTTTCCACCAGTTTCATTATAAGACCTTTACTCACTTGTATTAAAATCTAAATCCGGTGAATAGAACTTGAAATACAGCAAAACAACAGGCTAATGCTAATGGCCAAATGCAAGCCGCTGTGTTGCTATGGTAACAGGGCTGTAACTGTCACAGAAAGTTGGTTACCGGGCAACAGCAAACGGCTACTTTTCAATTTTACTTTAAAATGATTGGAGCTAAAGGTTGTACTACTCAAATAGTAGTATTCAAAGAAAATCATGACAAAGAAAATATACTACAAATAGACACAGAAAGAGTCACAAAGTTATGAAAACCAAAAAAGTACATACTCTGAGCAATCACACTTACAAAGTTAAACGTTGGTCTTACCTGGCGTGTGCTAAAGACGTGGAGCTGCTCAAGTCGAACACCACGATGATGGCTGTGGAGATATATACAGTACTTAGGTACTTTCATAATAATAATAATAATAATAATAATAATTGACTTTCACCTTGAGCTCCTCTATAGTACGTGGAGGCAATACACTTGAACCTCTCTTGTCCGGCAGTGTCCCATCTGTGGAGGAATCAAAATACAAAGTCGTGATTACAGTATAAGGGAAATTAGAATAATGGGTCAAATGCATGGGTCAAATTAAGTGATGATCTGGGACTTTTAAGGACATATATGGACTTTTATATACATTGGTCATCCCGCTCCTGTGTGTTGGTTATTATTGCATTTCCACTGGTTGAAAGGTTGACATGTGTTGACTTTTCACCCCTGGGTCAAAGACAAAACTGGGTCAAATGGACTTTCTAAATAACTCTTATCAAAATACAAGACACATAATAATGAACTATGGAATCGTCGACCTTGGGGAGAATAAATGTTTTAATGTTGGACCACTTGTAATTGCAGCAAATCCATCATCAGAGGCCAAAACTACAGGACTTCAGCATTGTAAAGAGTCCAGGCGTTTTGAGTTCTCCCAGGTTCAGATTTTAGATTTAAGCTTTTTATAGAAAAAAGGCCAGGAGGGTAATGGATTAACCAGTACATTTTAAGAGCTTTCCAAGATATTTGAGTCCAACATGTGATTTTTGCTAATGGAATGTGAGACCCAGAGAGAAGAAATGAAACGTTATGGACCCGTGAACTACTTTAGTGCCCATTTAATAAGCATCAAATCCAGTATTTAATCCAGTTACTCACAGCTGTAGACTAAAGGGGACTCCCAGCACCTCGAATCTCTCCATCTCAAAGTCCACTCCGATGGTCGCTTTGTAGTTTTTATCAAACTCACCTTTGCAAAACCTTAAGACGACAGAGAGAAAGAAGATTACAGTAAGATTTAAAAGAGTATTTGTCCCACTGTGGGGAAACTTCAGTGCTGCATCACCGGTTACAGAACAGTAGGTATGAGGAGCACACAGCACATGATAAATTAACAATACCTATATACTACAATAGAAAAAAATCTCTAGCTTTAGCATTATGAAGAAGCAAGAATTAAGTATACAAACTTTGACCATAAGAAAGAAATCATTTTAATATATACCAATTTTGATAATACTGCAACAAATATATACTTATGCATACATCTATATAGAAACATGTGGTTCTATATTGCACATTATGACATTATTCGAAGTATTATTGCACTGATAAGTGAAATAAACAGAAGTGAAATAAACTGCCCTATTTTAAAACATTTGACCATAAGAGATCGAGCTTTTTCGGTTGTTGGTCCTAAATGATGGAATGAGCTGCCCCTGTGTGTGAGACTGTCTGAGTCACTTCCTGTTTTTAAGTCTCGTCTTAAAACACATTTTTTTTCACTGGCTTTTAATTGATTTTTAATAGATTTTTTTAGCTGTAAACAGTGTTTTGTCTTTTTGCCACGGTTTTGTATTTTGTATTTGTATATTTGTGAATGTGTTTTTATGTACAGCACTTTGGTACACCATATTGTTTTTATTAGTGCTTTATAAATAAACTGGATTGGATTGGATAAGAATACAAGCCTCAATCACATCTTCAGCCGAAACCTTTTCAGTCATATTGTTCTTTTTTTGTGTGTTGAGAAAAAAGTGAACAAATAAACTACTACTACTACATACAACTTTACTTTCTACAAACAGTTTTTCTCCCCATCCCATTCCTACACTGCAAAACAAGTGAAACTGTGAGGTAATAATTGCTTAAATCAAGTGTTTTTCTTCTTAATCCGAGCACATTTTGACTGAACATTTGCCACTGAGACAAACTCATTTAGTTTTATGTCAAGAACTGTCTTTTTAAAACTAGACCATTTTGCTTTGTCCCATTTGCAAATATTGCTTTAAGACGATCAGAATACGCTCAAAATAAGATACATTATGCAAAATATGAGCAGTTTTTGACTTATTTTACATAACTTTTTCATGCTTGTAATTTTAATTTCTACAATAGTTTTTTCGTATCTGTTACTTTCATTTGTTCAGTTGCTTTGATCTGATAATTGAGTTGGTGGCAGCAGTCATGCAGCATATGGGAGCACATGTGTCTTCATAAACGTTATTGAGACAAACGGCCTCTCACCTGCTGATCAGACACGTTTTGCCGACAGCCACGTCCCCCACGACGATGACTTTGGCGATGTTAAAACTAGAAAAGACTCATTACATTACACAATTGAAGAACAGTTCCCAATGAGACTTCGAAATCTCTTTTTTCCCAGAGAGACGGCAGCCATATTTTTTAGTTAGTTTTAGTTTATTTCAAGCACACAATGAAAAAGTGTAAAATAACAACAACAAAAACAGATGGGATTATAGACATTGTAATTTCCCATGAATGCCGTTTATACACTGAACCAGTATTTGTGATTCTGGGTTTGTAAAAAATAGTCGTACCATAGTAAGAATTTAATTTCAAACGTAACAAATAATAATAATGCATCTGTTTTATATTGTGCTTTTTTTTGGACACTCAAAGACGCTTTACATATTTTTATTCATTCACTACATACACGGTGATGATAAACTACTACTAATGCCATAGCTGACCTGGGGCACACTGACAGAAGCGAGGCAACCAGTATGTGCCATCGGCCCCTCCCACCACTACCAAACATTCACACACACCAGACTCATTCCAGACAATGTGGGTGAAATGTCTTGCCTAAGGACACAACCATAGTTTGGCACTTTACAGCCGCAGCCGCCCCACTGTAGCACCTGGTGTTCCCAGATGTCTCCCATCACAGTAATAACCAGCCCCTGTTCTGCTTAGCTCCAGAGGTCTGATGAGATCTGGCTCTCACATGCAGGTATGGCCCCATTATAGTCTCCCATGAATGCATTTTATACATTGGACTCGAAATTGTGATTTTGAATTTGTTTAAAAATGCCATAAATTGCTGAATAAATCCCAGTCTCACCCATAGCCTGTAAATATTATCTCACCTCACGGATCCAGGTTTCTTCACTTGACAAACGGCTCTGACCTGAGGATGGAAGCTGTCTTTGACGTGTAGCGCCGCCGTAGGATTAAAGCACTGAATAAAGAGGAGAAAACGTGGAACTATAGGAGATGGAAATGTACACATGGTAATACTTTATTTTCTGGTACCTTTGGGAGCTGAGTGATGACCCTGTTCTTCTTCACTGGAGGTAACATTGTGGAGGCGCAAAGGAACTAATCAGAACAAAGCAGGAGAGATGGAGATGCACATGAGAGGAAGCAAAGACAGAACGTTGTAGTTTGAGCTCAAGATAAACATCAGAACTCCCAAAGCAGTCAATTTGGCGGCTTAATTACTCCTTTTGTGGAACTTTCAGAACTTTGTGACTTTTCCCGTTTCTATATGTAGTTTATTTCAATGCAATTTTGTTAATGAAATGATCTCGATCCTAGACTGGTCCTAAACTGGTTCAGAGCCATCTCAGCTTTGATCAAGTGCTAGTTACCATAGCAACCCGCTTGAATAACTTAATTTTAATAAAAGTGGTGGAAAACTAAAACTAGTTTATGGGGATTTATGTATTCCTGAAAAACTACGTTCACTTATCTTGCGTGCTCCTCATTCCTACAGTTGTGTACTTGTGATGCAACATTGAAATTTCCTCACAGTGGGACAAATAACGGATCACATAATCTTAAACATATGACAAGTTTATCGGCAAAAACAGATGCCTTAATTTCAAATATTTGTCAAAAAGTTGTTTTCCTCTGGCTCGGACCGTCAACACGATTTGTTATTGGCAGAACATTGGAACTAATTTTCTTAAGAAGGGGTGAAACTTTATTTGTATGGCACTAAAATAGATCTGTCTTTTCACAAAACTAGTTGGTAAAGGGGAAATCTTTCAAAGTAAGTCTTTCAAATATTTTTCTCATTTCTGCAAAGTAACAACTCAAATAAACGTTTGTTTTGTTCTGTGTCATAATTACGCTTAAAAAGTACAACTTTTGAAACTCCATCTATCTTAGTGTATTTGATGTGTGACTCTGGCTCTTTCTAATCAGTAACAGTAACCCACCACTGAATGGATGACACTGATTAATCTAACGAGTACAAAAATTAAATTAGGGATGGATGAATAAAAGAAATTGCACTTACCTCGTTTTTGGAAAATCCTGGATAAAAAATTAAAGCTACAGCTGGTTCCACCTCACAGCTGGCATCTCCCTTTGGCTCTGTGTATGAAACTTGTCCAGAAAGTTGAGTGACCACCAGAGCTACAGAAACTGGAAAAAGCTGGTTAAACACCGCTCTCTGATGGTCATTTATAGTCATTACATTTAAGACATGTCGAGTGATTGGGGAACTTCACGTTTTAAAATGTATGTCATCTGGAGGTATCACTGTCCAGACTAACTGTAAAAAGAGCTCATGTCGCAACACCTCTGCTCTGAGAAAGCACATCTATAGATCTGCTTCGACTGACTGTGTATATTATTTTGCCGTTTCTCTTTTTATATTCCTTTTTTAATGGACCAATTGTCGTGTGATTGTTTTCAATGAAGGAAAGGCAATTAATGTGTGTGTGTGTATATCACAGGTCATTCACAAAGGAACCTCTAAGAAAATTATGAATAATATCAGGGCATTAACAAGAGTAAAAATAAAAGCCTTCAGTTGTAAGCACAGACAAACAGAACGATTTTCAACATTGTAGAGTATAGAAGCCTTTCTTCATTTTAAGGAATGCGCTGTAAATTGCGCTATATAAAGAAACATTACTTACCTACCAACTTACTTACTAATAAAGAGGCAAGTATAAAATCTATAGTTTTAATTGGTAATTTTCCGACAATAGATCAGAGAATCAAACAGCTTAAACACACGACATGCAGTAATAGCACACACACATAGCAGACATTAGTCCTAGGGGGCGTTGACCAATGTCCATAAATGTTTCAAAGAATGAATGTTGATTATTTTATTTTTCAGTTTTTAAAATCTATTTCTAAGTGGAACAGTAAAAGTATTTTGTCCATGTACAGCTGCTCGTACAATTTAGGCTTTCTCACCCATTTTTACCAGTGACATTTGAACCAGGTCATCAACAATTCAGATAAACAATGGTTGATCAGGTTACTGGGATATTATAGAGCTCTCATAACGAACCCTGGTCTCCCTAATCACTGTGTCTCATGGAGGAAGGTCTTGTTATTTATTATCTACATTTTGGATGAAAAACTCCCGTAAAGGTCAATAAAATGAGAAGAAATATCATGGAAGGATTTTGCAAAGGTGGGCCATGGCTAAAAAGAAAAAAAATGTAATGGTGAAATTGATTGGAAATAGTTTGTGAATAATTTTGTAACTATTTAATTTGTAATTTTAAACAAACTACCACGTTTGCTTCCATCTTTTTTAAATCTTGAAGACGTCATCAAGCCGCGACTCGGGTATAAAGCCCTCGCCAAATCCGTTGGTCTCTCTCTTGTTCTGTTCTCTCTGAGCATTGAGGCTGTCTTTGTGCAGCTCATGGAAAAGCAGGTACCGAACTGTTTTAAATGGTCTTGAAGTCTCAGCGTTCTCATTTTATGATACACATGCGCAATGCTAATGTAATGTCGCTAGCTTTCAGTAAAGTTGGCTAGTAGTTAGCTAGTATCTGTTGCCATGCTGTTACCACGTGAAGCACGAGCCTGTGGTAGCTCGAGGCCTACTCAAAAACGTGTTAGTGTTATTTTAAAACACCTACGCTTAATTTCAAGGCCTTTCAACTGACTAATGAGTCGGCTTAAAATGCATATTTTCTCAGGCACGTTAGTATCACACCAATCACTATTTTAGCTTTTCAACTGGCTAATGTTTTTTTTTTGCATAAAATGGCGTCTACATTATACATGGAGATCTTGCTACATTACTAAGACCTGGTTTGCTTGACTGAAATCAAACTATACTCTCCTAATTTAAATATTGATTTAGAAAAATCAAGATGCAGAACAGTCTATTCGTCCCATTGAAGAAATATGGGTGTTTCACTGCACACGCAGGACAGGACACTATACAAAGCTGTAAATGCGTTATGATGGGAGCATTATAGGTGTATGTATTGTAATATATGGGTAGTGAAAAGCAGATGGTGACATTCTGATCGACAGTATTTACATAATTACACTTTTTTTCTGGACTGACTTACTTTTGTTTTTAGGTTCATACATCCATGGTTCAAAGCTAATGTTGACTCTTGGATTCTGGTGAGTACGAATAGACCTAATAAGTGTGTTTTGATGTCTTTGATGAAAGCGGTGAATAGGAAGTGCCGTCCGATGCGATAACTGACGAGACGTTTCACCCATTGCTCTGAGCTGCTGCATTGGAAAAGTCAATGTTTTTCTCTTTATAATTACACGTGACTCATTCATTATGCTTTCCACAGGTTCAGATGACTGAGCATTGATAGTAAGCTTAAAGTTTGGACGCGCAAAGTGGTAAGTTGACAGCAATCACGGTATAAATATTATACAGTAATGATGAAATTCAAACTGAATAAGCTGGAATTACCGTCAGATTGTTTAGTGGTGATCTTTGGTTTTCTGAACTCAAGAATTGTGACTAGAAATGTCCGTATTCGCTTAACTGTTTAACTGAAGTAGATTTGTTTCTTTTCAGGGTTGTCTTTGCTGAAATTTCAACAGTACATTATTGTTCACTGAATGGTAAGTAGACTGGGATGAAGGAGTCTGGGCAGAGGCAGTTTGTTTGCTGGAGCCATATTCTAGGCCTTAATATTTTTTTAGACAATTGTTGATGTTGGGATAATGTGGCCTTATATTTTACTTTATATACCTGCAGAAAATATTTCTACAGTGCCACAATCTAATTGCAGAACTGTGGATAGGCTACTTAATCTTTTGTAAATTATCACTAATGTGAAGCAAGCTATCGTTGTCTTAAAGTATAAATGCAATAATTTAGAAATGGATAAGTGAAATTTAAGTTTACTATCCCATTTTTGGACATTTTTAACACCTGCGAAATATATAATCTACATCATCACTTGCTGATGGTGGCATTACTAAAGTAATAATTCTTGAACTAAACTTGTTGCTGTACTTTACTATACTCCAGATTCAAAGTACTAATCTTCTGTCAGAATCCACAAATGTCATTACACGTGTCAGTCAATTTAAGACACTTTTTAAACTAGGAAATGTCTTAACCCTCTGCCCTGTGGAGACGATGATGACACATTGGAATAGGAAGAGTTTGATTCGACACTTGATGATTCTAATCCACTGTGCTGAGTCTCGTTTGTACCTAACCCTGACCGTCTACATGCATTTCTTGTTATAATATAAACGCACAATGTCTGTTCTCAGGTCTGGCCGCCTCTGGTCTGTGTTCAGCCTAAAGTTCTTCCATAAAGGTAAACATGAAGTGGAATCTTCGCATAATCTTAGGCCCTGTCCACACGAAGTCAAGCTCAGGCCTAAACGCAAAAATACTTTATCAATCCAGTGTATCGTCCATACGAGGCCGGCGTTTTGGGGGGGTGTAAACGAACATTTTTGAAACTAGGTCCCAGAGTGGAAAGATTTCAAAACTCCGTATATGCCGCTCAGTGGTTACTGCCTCTCCGCAATGTATCTGAGACGCTTGCGTAATCGCCCCGCCTCTTGTTAAAGCACGCATGCGCCGCACTCAGAAAATAATGACAACAACAATGTAGCTTGTTGGTTTTGTAATCCAGTGTGACCCGAAGCAACAGTTCAACCTCATCGTCCGTCCATACTAATGTAGTACCAGCTCGCCCACTCGCCATGTTGTCTGTTTACAAAATTCCGCGCATGCCCACGGAGGTTTGGGCTTGATCCCGTCATTGCGTCACAGCGCCACCAACAGGTCTGGCATAGTTTCACAGCGTTTTCAGGCGTATTGACTACATTCATATGGACGCACAGATTTACTGAGCTAACTCCGTGTTTACAGAAAAAGTTTCTGAAATTATAAGAGTTTTGTCTTCGTGTGGATATAGCCTTAATGTTATGATGAAATCTAAACTGAAATAGCTGGAATTACCGTCAGATTGTTCAGTGGTGATATTTGGTTTTCTGAACTTTAAAATACTTGGATATGTAATTAAATGTCGTTGCGCTATAAATCTAAATACTTCCTTCTCTAGACAGGTGTTGAGACTGGATCATGTGTAGACGCTGCAGGTAAGCAGCCGTTTCTAAATAATTATCAAACTAATTCTTCTATCAATGATGAAACCTGGAATAGGAAGTGCCGTCTTATGCGATAACTGACGATGTTTTCAATCCGCTATTCTGAGATTTTCTAATCATTAGTTTCTCACTTTTTGTAATTTCACTTCATTAAACTATAGTCTCTTCCACAGATCCGTACATTAACCTGGGTTTGGGACCAAAAACCATTATTCAGGTAATTGTTATTTTCTCGCTAAATTTTAGTTTACTGTTGTGATGAAATCTAAACTGATAATGCTGGAATTACCGTCAGATTGTACAGTGGTGATAATTGGTTTTCTGATACATTTTTCAGTTGGAGGAATGTATAAGTTTAGTTTTTTGAAAAATTCTAACGTCTCTTTTGGTTCCCACAGGTTGACTCTCAATGTGTAAAGCTGGTGCGTAAGTATTGTGAAATGTATAAATCACTTTGTGAATAAACTTGTTAAATTAAAACTTTTGTCTGTCTTTATTGATGGGAATAAAGGGACGTGCTTGTCACGTACATTTGCATTCACTGAATTGTTGAAATGTAAAACAAGATGACAAACTGATTGCTGTGGCCCAAGGGCATCAGACTGGCTCTGAAGTACTGTAACTGAAAGGTTTCATTCCAACAGGAGCACATGAAATTTCGGTCTAAGTCTGGCCTTTAAATCAAATGAATGGTTGTGCACCCCTGGGAAATACCTGGTCTGTACAGAGCCCAAATGTTTTCACCTGGACTAGTTTCATTCTGCAGCCACTTCCTAAAACTGTAAAAATGTTTGCATTAATGTTTGGCAGTCTAGCCTGGATGCAGCTTTGTCCTCGCCTAATGTAAAATCTCTGCCAGCAGTTCTAATACACCTGCCAGGTCTCCGACTTTTTAATTTTATTTTTATAGAACAGTGCCTTTTTTTTTTTTTTCCTCCAGCAGTAAATACATTTGGTCTACATAACTACAGCCAATCCTGGACTATACACATAATATACCGTGCTGTATCCCTGTCTTAATGGCAAGATCATTGATAAAATGGATATGTAATGTCTTGAGTGGATCATATTGGGATCGTGGGTAGCTACCAATGTTGGCAACCCCTGATATAGGCAGCTTGTGTCACGGCGCATAAGTTTGTTTCAAGTGGATAATTCTTGGCGCTAATGGTAATGTACAGTTACTTGTTCAGTTTGGGGCAAATCTGAGCCATTGATTCCTGACATCACATTTTTGCAAATGTGAAGTGTCTGGTATACAAGGTGCTAGCTTTTCCAGAGGTCTCCCATCACAGTACGAACCAGGCCCTGCCATGCTTGGCTTTAGATTTAAATGAGATCAGGCTTTGTGTAGCTCCGGATTGACATCCTGGTCCAGATGACTCACACAAATGAAATTCAAGCAGAAACCAAACTGCATGCTTATTGTACTATATGTTGCTCCAATGCATAGTAAAAGGATCTTTGCATTTCTTGTTCCAGGGTCTCTGCCCACACTTGCCTGAAAGTCCATTGCACCTGTCTGGTTCTGTGAATGTCAATCCATCGTTTTCTACCCTTTAATCCATTTCTGGGTCAGGGGGGTGACAGTCAGAGATGCCACCCAAGTCTCATAGCACCAGCCCCTCACTGACCCTCTGCAGGTGGTGAGTCCACAGGAGGACGGCTGCTCTCTGACTGTGAGCATAGCCTTGATCTTTTCAGTGGGGGCTTTGGGCAAAGTGGGGTTAAGTGTCTTGCCCAAGGACACAACGACAGCAGTCATCAGTGGGAGTTAGTGTTAGCTAAAACAATTAATATGTAATGCAACCTAAAATGCTTTACAAAGACATATAATCAACAAATGAGGTAAAACAACACTCAGTCAGAATTAAAATGTTGTATTTTGCACAGAGAATGGACTTAAACAAGTCCAGAGATGAGGCTTCAGGAAGACTGCTCCAGAGTCTACCAGCAGGAGGCCAGTCCCTGTGCTCTTCAGAGTCCCAGCAGGAGGCTAGTCATTGTGAAGTGTACTTTCTTGTCATTTATTTAATTAAAATATATGTTATGTGTTACGGGTTACGGCCACTGACGGGCCGTATATCCTCCTCTCTCAGGTGGAAGCTGTGCTGATTGGTGCGCGTGCGTGACACGCGGAGCCGCGCCTTTAAAGCTCGTGCACATGCCAGAGATGGTTGTTGGCTCATCCTGCTCCCATCTTGACACCTGCGTGTCCCGCCTCCTTTTGTATGGTTTTGGTTTGGTTTGGTTGCTTGGTTCGTTTTGGTTTATTTTCTACACACCATTCAACACTGCAGACATACGCTCACAGCACATACACTAACACGCACTCATTGCAGACTTCCACACCTCATTCAAATATTAACTTTGCTTATTAATAAATATTATTTCAATTGGCAACTGTTGTTTGGCGTGTTTCTGTCATTTCTATTGAGCCGGGTTATGACATATGTCATATTGGTTTTGTCCACATTTATTTAACTGTGAGAGGCGGATCGGTGCAGTATGTGCCAGGAAGCGGTCTTTTTATCGGACCGTTGTGGTGAAGAAGGAGCAGCGTCTGCAGTCAGCTCTGGTCAATCTTCGTTCCCTCCCTCATCTCTGGTCATGAGTTTTGGGTAATGGCAGAAAGGACATGAGCTTCCTCCACAGAGTGACTCCCTTAGAGATAGGGTGAAGAGCTGGGTCACACGGGAGGAGCTCGGAGTAGAGTTGCTGCTTCTCCACATCGTGAGAAACCAGTTGAGGTGGCTCGGGTATCTCTTTCCAGAGGTCTCCCATCACAGTACGAACCAGGCCCTGCCATGCTTGGCTTTAGATTTAAATGGGATCAGGCTTTGTGTAGCTCCGGATTGACATCCTGGTCCACAGATGACGCACACAAATTAAATTCAAGCAGATGTATTCAGATAAAAGGGGAGCTCTTGGGTTTGTGAGATTTCATAACACTTTGAAGCAATTTTGTTAAAGTTAAACTCATCATTCTATCAATGTGCAGAAGCCAGCACTTTTCCCTTGTTTTGTCTATCTGAAGGCCAAGCTACATGGCACTGTGGCAGCTGCTGATTGGAGGTCTCCATGCCTCCGCTCTGTATAATACACACGCATTCTGTTGTTCGTGTTGTTCGTGCTGTCTCTACCATCGACAATAAAACATGTCTTCTGTCTGAATTTAAGACGCGATCCCAGACTTAGTCATCTTCTTCAGGTTGTAGCTGCTGCCGTAGCCTTCAGCAAAAATACCTCAGTCATGTGATTGCAAACCTTATCTGGTGGATTCCTTCATGGATTTGCTTGAGGCACTGTGCCCGACCTGGCCACAAAGCACAAAATGAACATTAAACATACTAAGCTTTATTTAAACCCAGTCACAAGCATGTTTGTGGCTGGGTAAATTGTTATGGTATGGTTTCATGAATTTATTACGGTACGTTTTTTTTTTTTTTTACAAAACATCCCTTATCTACCTATAGGTTAAAACTTAAATCATAAAACTGGATAAATAATGGATTTTATTTTTGCTATCTATTAATAATGTTTCACAATGCACTGTTCCACACAAGTTATCAGTTGTATCCCTTAAAATGATGTAACTCTCCACATCTTTTTGTGATTTGTTGTATATTCTTTTGCAAAAATCTTACAAATATATTTACAATAATTAATTCTGGCTTGAAACAAAGGCAAGGCAAATAAATTCATAAAGACTCTGTTTTGGAAATCTGAAATTTCATGAAATAGTTATAAGAGTAAGTTATTAACCAATCTTCAAATCTTGATTCAAATACAGTACATAGAATCTGTTTTGTCGGAGGTAAGGTCAGCTGATCGATGGTAACATGTTAATACAATATCAGACACGCAGAAAGAGAAGCCCCGAGCCACACACATCATTACGGACTTAATTTGTCAAATATCTGTTTTGTTTAATCTTGTCTAGTTCATTTCTTTCAGTTTCCTCATTTGGGGGCAGACGGTTTCAGAGTGCTGCCTGGTGGTACCATGGTGTTTTCATTGTTTATGCTCTCGGCCTGTGCAGAAATTCCACAACCTACCATTCATGCAGAAACCCGGGATGCTTAAAGTAACAATATGTAAGATTTTTATGTCAAGTCATCATTAAAGGCCCTAATCTGTCAAAAGGCATTAATGAAACATGCTCTTTCCCAATACTTCTTTAACTGATAAAAGTAGTTACGAGATATTAGAATTTCAAAATTAGTTTTTTGATGGCCCGCCCTCCACCGTTTCCTCAATCAGAAAGTCTGTGATCCAGATGCCAGAACTCACCGCGTGGAGCTAATCTCACTGGTAAAGTAGCATGTGGCCCCAGAACTAAAAAAAAGTCTCGTTATGATTCTCAAATCATTAATAACAAAACAAGGAATCTTTGTGAAAAAGGTGTTGGTTATAGATTTGTTGTTGACAAAACTCTTGTCCTTTCAAATATTATGGTCCCAGCTGGACTCGTCGGCATATCTGGCAACCTGAGTCAGGGAGAGTGCAGTAACACTTTTGGAGTTTTACATAGAGCTCCTTTAACAGACACAGAACATTGGGAAATAAAACATTTTAGGAATAACAGGATACACACACACATCTGTAATAAAATATTTGTTTAAAGAGCACGAGTCACACGGATGATTCTAATATGTGTAAAGCAAATACACTGGGGTTACTCTTGCACAGGTATTCCAATGTGGTTGTACTGCAAATGGTAAATTATCTGAATTAGTCATGTGACCACTAGACTCTCAACACTCCCTTGTGCTGCCTGTTTTGTATGTTTGTATGCACAGGGACTGGAGACAAAAACTAGCTTTGTCTCTAAATGATACCGAAATCCCTCCACTTTTAACACATATAAACCTTTTTTTTTTCAAGAATTGTGATAGTTTCTGTATCCCACATTATCCTGCCATGTGTCAATGTATTTATGACCTGAATATTCCTTGCTATTCCATCACTCCCATGTTTAAACTGTTCCTCTCTGTCATTTGGGCTGCATTTACAAGACAATAAATACTTTTCTGGTTGCTCAAGATTCTCTGCAGATGGAAGAATTCTAATGACCGATGGATTTCTGTGGACTTTCAGTTGAATGATGAATAGTCCATGGACTTTTCAGATCAAAGTTTGATTGCATTGCAGTGTCCCTATCAAATAAACAAATACATAATTAACAACTACCCTGTTTTTTTCTTGTAAACGATTTTTTGATAAAACTTTTATGTTTCTATTAAAACACATGGTGCATTCTTGCTTTGTTCAATGTAAATGTGTCAACTGTGTCATTTTCTCTCTTTTATTGCTGGCTCCCCACAATGGGTCCTGTTGTGAAGCATTTTCTCACAGATTTGCATGTTGTGTTCTGTAAATGTCGACAGGTGTGCTCCCCGGAGCATCTGCTCTGTCAAAACATGTTCAGGATGATACAGAACTTTCACACATAATGAAAGGTTAAACTGCGTGTTTCTATTTGCTTCGCTGCTGGAAATGTGAATTATACTGTACTCTATGTACTGGCAGCTTTCTTCAAGCACTTTTGAATGTGTTGCTAACGACTGTTGTAAACCAAAAGAGAAGAGTGACTGTAAATGTAAACAATTGAGCTGTGAAACACACTTATACAAATACAACAGAAATGGGTATAAAAAAATAAAGCGAAGAATCCTTTATTAAATCATGGGCAGAACTGCACAAAATACAGAAAAGTCAAAAGGAGAGGCTCTTTAACTAATTATTATCAATCACTCTAGTTTATCTAAAACAATTATTTAATATGTAATGCAACCTAAAATGCTTTACAAAGACATATAATCAACAAATGAGGTAAAACAACACTCAAAGTCAGAATTAAAATGTTGTATTTTGCACAGAGAATGGACTTAAACAAGTCCAGAGATGAGGCTTCAGGAAGACTGCTCCAGAGTCTACCAGCAGGAGGCCGGTCCCTATGCTCCTCAGAGTCCCAGCAGGAGGCCGGTCCCTATGCTCCTCAGAGTCCCAGCAGGAGGCCGGTCCCTATGCTCCTCAGAGTCCCAACAGGAAGCCGGTCCCTGTGCTGGTCAGAGTCCCAGCAGGAGGCTAGTCCCTGTGCTCTTCAGAGCCTCAGCAGGAGGCTATTCATTGTGAAGTGTACTTTCTTGTCATTTATTTAATTAAAATATATATTATGTCATATTGGTTTTGTCCACATTTATTTAACTGTGAGAGGCGGATCGGTGCAGTATGTGCCAGGAAGCGGTCTTTTTATCGGACCGTTGTGGTGAAGAGGGAGCAGCGTCTGCAGTCAGCTCTGGTCAATCTTCGTTCCCTCCCTCATCTCTGGTCATGAGTTTTGGGTAATGGCAGAAAGGACATGAGCTTCCTCCACAGAGTGACTCCCTTAGAGATAGGGTGAAGAGCTTGGTCACACGGGAGGAGCTCGGAGTAGAGTCGCTGCTTCTCCACATCGTGAGAAACCAGTTGAGGTGGCTCGGGTATCTCTTCCAGGCATGAACCGCCGGGAGTCTCTTATCTTTGCCGTAGCAACCATGTTAGCAACACATCTGCTAAGCTAACGCCATCAGAACAAATGCCCATAAAAGGAAATTGTCTCCAGTTAGCTTAAGTTCTGCATTAAGGCTAACACTATGGTGATGTCACACTCTGCCAGCCCACTCCTATGGTAAAAATGCACGTTTGACACACAGATGTCAACATGTTATTTTTATTGGAGACAAAAACCCTGCGGAAAAACTCTAGAGGTGTGTAACAATGTGGTAGAACTATTTTCAAGCTGTTATTATTTTTAATCTTTACCACTTGGTTTATTCGATTTATATTCTCTCACTTCCTTTTTTTATTTCAAAAAGAGGAATTCTTGTCTCATGATGTACAAACAACAGTATTTGTATTTGTAATATTTGTGAAAAAGTCCTTCTGCTCATAAGTTCAGTCATCCATTGTGGTCAGTCATGCCTCTACCATGCTTCTTCTACATTCATTAATACATTGTGGTTAGCCTTGCTTCTAAGCTCGTGAATACAATGTAGTTAGCCATGCTGCAAGCAAATTAGTCCAATGTGATTAGCCATGCTTCTAAGCTAACATTGAACTGTTAATCGGTATGGGAAACTATAGTTCAATACTTTTTACTTAAATACCTAAAACAAGTACGTTTACCCCCTCTGGTTTAGGCCCTTCTGGTTCTTGGGCCTTCATTCGTACACTCCTGGTTTTAAGTGAATTATTTTTAAATTTTTTCCAATATTTTTTCTGCTTTCCATACCTTGAGGATTGTGCAGCTGGTCAGATCTGGTTCTGCCGCTCACTGTCAGCCTCTCATTTACCCCACTACTCTAACGACCCACCCATTAGCCCTGCCCCCAGCCTGACAATAGCCTCTAAAGAGATTAAACAACTCTTCTTGAGGCTGCACCCCCGCAAAGCTCCTGGCCCGGACCACGTGTCTCCGGCCACTCTGAGACACTGCGCCAGTGAGCTAACTCCTGTGTTCACTGACATTTTCAACTCCTCTCTGCAGTCCTGCCATGTCCCGGCCTGCTTCAAATCCTCCATCATTGTCCCCGTCCCGAAGAAGTCCAGGATCACAGGACTCAATGACTACAGACCTGTGGCACTTACGTCTGTCGTCATGAAGTCATTTGAACGCCTGGTTCTCTCCCATCTCAAGTCCCTCACCTCCCCCGTCCTGGACCCCCTGCAGTTCGCCTACAGAGCCAACAGATCTGTAGACGACACCATTAATCTGGCCCTCCACCACATCCTACAGCACCTGGACCCCCCGGGGACCTACGCCAGGGTCCTGTTCGTGGACTTCAGCTCTGCCTTCAACACAATCCTGCCATCCCTGCTCCAGGACAAGCTCTCCCAGCTCAACGTGCCCGATTCCACCTGCAGGTGGATCACTGACTTCCTGACGGACAGGAAGCAGCGAGTGCGTCTGGGGAAGAATGTCTGGGACTCTCGGATTATAAATACAGGAGCCCCACAGGGCTGTGTTCTTTCTCCCCTGCTCTTCTCCCTGTACACCAACCACTGCACCTCCAGCCACGACTCTGTGAAGCTGATCAAGTTCGTGGACGACACCACCCTCATTGGACTCATCTCCAACAACGATGAGTCCGCCTACAGGAGGGAGGTGGACCGGCTGGTGTCTTGGTGCAGTGGTAACAACCTGGAGCTGAACGCCCAGAAGACAGTGGAGATGATTGTGGACTTCAGGAAGAGCACTGTCCCCCCGCCCCCACCCTCCGTGATGGACTCCCCCATCACCTCTGTGGAGTCCTATCGTTTCCTGGGCACCACCATCACCCAGGACCTCAAGTGGGAGCCGACCATCAGCTCCCTCACCAAGAAGGCCCAGCAGAGGATGTACTTCCTGCGGCAGCTCAGGAAAGCCAAGCTGCCTGCACAGATGTTGGTGCAGTTCTACACGGCCATCATCGAGTCCATCCTCACCTCCTCCATCACCTCCTCCATCACCTCCTCCATCACCGTGTGGTTCGCTGGAGCCACAGTCAGGGACAAACAGAGACTACAGCACATTGTGCGCTCTGCAGAGAAGGTGATCGGCCGCAGCCTTCCATCGCTGCAGGACCTGTACGTCGCCCGAGCTCGAGGCCGGGCTGGTCGTATCACAGCCGACCCCTCTCACCCTGCACATGGACTATTCCAACCACTCCCCTCAGGCAGGAGGCTGCAGTCCATCAGGACTAGAACCTCCCGCCACAAGAACAGTTTCTTCCCCTCTGCTGTTGGACTCTTGAACACTTCTTAACCTGTCCCCCCGCCCTTTATAAAGTCACTTCACTGCCCATCATACGTCACTTTACTTGACTGTACTGCTGTCACCTTACATTGTGTGCAACATGTGCACTTGTATATTGTAAATAGTAACTGTAACTCTATTTTAAATTTAAATTTATTCTTTAGAAGTGTTTTTTATTCTTATTTTTATTATCTCTTTCTGACTGTTGCACTGAGCCAAAGCAATTTCCAAGTCTGTGACCTCCTGTTACTTACGTGGCAATAAAAATGATTCTGATTCTTCCGTGTGTCAACTTGTGGAGGAGGGGCGTCGTCTCTTTAAAAACTCAAGTTTGTACCTCTCCAGGTGAGTCCAGACCACAACGACCTGAGCCTCATCTCCCAGCAGCAGGTCAGAACTACCACTATACTTTCTGCTGTTGCCATGGCAGCGACAGTAGTTATAGAGTCGTGTTATTGAGTTGTTTTGAGTTGTTTACATTGGTGTATCTTTGGGAAGTGAAGCAAGACCTTGATCTTGAGACTATTTTTTGTGACTTGAGGCTTGAGTAAATGTAAATAAATGCAGGTAATAAATGCATGCATTTAGTGTTTGTTTGTTTTTTATCTTAATTTTAGCACATTCTGATTGTTTTAAAACAACATTTTCCAATGGGACAAAGCCCTTTAAACTGTTGCTTTTTTCTCATTCAGGCATTTCTTGTATCTATTTAATTCTTCTCTCTTGTGATGATTTTGTGAATGATGGAAGGGAGTGAGACCAGGAAAGTAGATGTGGAACTATAAACATTTTAGTCACTGAGGGGAAATTTGCTTTGGCTCAGTTTCTGCCAATAAAAAAAGATTTGATACGTAATTCATCTCAATTAGCATCCGTTGGAGATTTTAGATTTGCTTCTTTATCATGCTAAAGCTAGAGATTTTACACTTGCTTCATCGATATTTACAGTCTATGGTTAGGACCAGGACTTGGGTTAGTGTTAGGGTACACTAATTAACACTTAATTAGCTGTTAATTAGTGAGGGCTAATCTAAAGAAATTCTTCACCTTCCTCTGGTGGTAGCATAAGTATATTGCAGGACAACAGCATTATTTACCCTTGATATTTGATTCATCATATATTTTCAACTGAAGACATTAGATCACATTCTAAGACATGGCATGACAAAGTAACTTGTCTCATGATCATGTTTAATGTCCAAAAATAGTTATTAATGTTTCTTCTTTAAAGTGATTGTGTGGAGTTTGTCAGAAAAAAGAGAGAGGTACATGATTTGAAAAAAACGACCCAAGCTCCCTACCCCTTCCTTTCTGATTGGTCTTGAAGCCGCGCCTACTTTTCCGTGCACGCGCCAGGTCCAAGACGTGCGGAGGAGAGATTATTAATCTAATTATTTTAATATTTAATATTAATTTATTATCCAGCTCCTCACAGCAGCAGTAGAATGCTCCATTGATTTAAATGTAATTTCAAAACGTTCTACCAAAAAAAAAATCTTGATATCGGACCTCTCAAACCAATAATGACCTTTCACAACGCACTCTGTACTTGTATTTCAGGTGTTTAAAATACTAAGATTACTCTGGACAGTAGTTTGCACACTTCGTCACAACGAGCTTTCAGCGCCTGTCACTTATTACTTCTTCTTCCCCACAAAATCTGACCTTTATGAAAGCTGTAGGTTCTCTGTCAGCTGAGCTGTTTTAGTTTACATTGAGTTCTATGGGAAAAATTTCTGGGTAGCCCACGTGAATTTAGTCTGGTTTAGTCTGCAGTACCGCGAGAATCCCCTGAGCACATGGGTTTTTCAGCTCCAAGCTAGTAATACCCTATCCAGTTAATATAATAGATCCATGGTTAAAGGTTGAATTTATATTTGGGTCACTCACTGGAGATTTTCATAATTCTTTGTTCAGTTTTCATGTAGTTCCAGAGAGTTCTAGTAAGTTAGCTGGCCTAGCTGTTACCCGTCTAGCCTACAGTCTATGGTCTAGCCACGTCAGGGCAAAACCTTTGGGAACTAACTTTTGGGAACTTATTATCATTAAAGATAATGCCCATTACAGCTTTGAATATTAAAGCGATTGTCTGGAGTATGTCGGAAGAAAAGAGAGAGAGGTAGCTTACTTGATTAGAAAAAAAAAGACGCAAGCTCCTCCCCCTTCCTTTCTGATTGGTCTACGCCTATGTTTCCGTAACACTTTTAAATGTTAATCAGAGAACACATTATACATAACATTATTACTACACATGCACGGAGGTTTTCAGACTTATTTGTTAACGTTTTCATGAAAAAAATAATGTTTTAATGAAAAAAAAAGCGATCGCGGCAAACCCGGAAGTAGCTATTAACATGAATTGAACATTATAGGACACATCTGCAGAGGACTGATTATGGATATAGGTTCAGTATATACATGATTATGGATATAGGTTCAGTATATACATGATTATGGATATAGGTTCAGTATATACATGATTATGGATATAGGTTCAGTATATAAATGAGTAACTTGAAATGTAAAATGTTCAGAATTCTTTGTTCAGTTTTCATGTAGTTCCAGAGCCTAATGGAGGCTTGATTCGGAGGCTCTGCGAAAACAAACAACTGAGCGCCGATGGATGACAGCCCTTGGCATCACTTGATTGGTGAAAATGGACGGCATCGTGGATTTTGAGCTATAGCTAAGAGAAGGGAAGGCGGGACTTACCCGTAATATTAGAATCCATAAAATGATTTATTTCATATCAACATTTAAGGCCAGGAGGTCAATTTGTAATTAATTTAGAGTTCCAGACTATCACTTCAAATATTTCCTTGTTCTTTCTGGAAATATGAGTCAGGCTTCTTCTCTGACAACTTTCAAATCCAGGTTTATAAAGCTGCGGGTACAACTGAAGGATTGTATCTTTCTAATTTACTGTGATTATTTATTATTGTAAAGCCTTGCGTGATTGGCTCTTGTTTTGATAAGCACTTTTGAGTTGCCTTCACTGGAAAAAGTGTTGAAAAATAAGCAAAAACCAGCTAAAAGTTGGCTAAATGTATCTTAATACAAGCACATTTTGACTGCCTTAAACAATATTTGAAAATGGGACAAAGCATAAATTGTCTTGTTTTGAAAAGATACAAGAAATATCTCAGTTGGAATTAGAAAATAAAGCAACAGTTCATGAAATAAGACTAACATTGGCAAATCTTGTTCAGAAAGTACTCAAATTAAGATAAAAACCATATTTTATAATTTTTTGCAGTGTTGTGTATAAACTGTGCTATACATATAAACTTGCCTCGACTGTGACTGTGTCCTGTTTTATCTCCACCGCAGCATGACGTCCACCTGCACCCCCATCATTAACCTGAAGTATCCGGACGGGAGCCTGGGCAGCGCCTCCAACCCCGAAAAATTCCAGGACGACCAGGACTTCGACTTCCTCAAAAGCCATTATGTGTCCCGCAGGAAGATGTTTGTGGACAAGAGCTTTGCTCCAAACCGCTACTCGCTGGGGGAGGCCAGGGACGTCCAATGGTGCAGACCCAAAGTATGTGTTCAGGAAGTCTAACGTAGAATCTGAAGTTTTGTCATTTAATCCAACCCCTAACTGTGAGTACACTTCAAACAATGACAAAAAATAAGTAGAAAACTGCTAAAATATGGCTAAATAAATCTTAATTTCAGCACCTTTTAACTGCCATTAAAGTAGCAATTTTCATGTCCAGTCATCATTAAAGGGCCCTAATCCGTCAAAAGTATTATTGAACCACTCTTTTCGAATACTTCTTTAAATGATAACATTAGTTCAGCCGAGACATTACTCTTACAGCCCCTAAATCTTGTTATTGATTTCATTTTGATGTCCCGCCCTCCACTGTTTCACCAATCAGAAAGTCAGTGATCTGGGTTGCCAGAACTCACCGCGCAGAGTTAATCTCACTGGTAAAGTACCATGTGGCCGCAGAACTAAACAAGGAATAAAACCAGGATTTCTATCTTTGTGAAAAAGATGTTGGTTAATGTTTTAATGGATAAGTTCATTTTAAAAAAAAATCTGTTTCTAGGAAATTCTGGAAATGCTCAAAATACCTGAGGAGCCGGTCTTCAGCAGCGATGGGGAGTCTCGCTTTGACTTTGCTCAGGGTTTCATTGGTAATTTTGTTCCATTTTATTCTAATTTTGTTCTCACTTAAGCACTTTCTAACTGTGATTGTTTGTTGCAGGAAATTGCTGGTTTTTGGCGGCGATTTCTTCCCTCACTCTGAGTAAAAAGCTCAAGGTGCAGGTCGTACCAAAGCAATCCTTCGATGACTACGCTGGGATCTTCCACTTCAGGGTACATCTGTTTCGCCTCTTTTTTAACTGTTGTTAGCTACTTTTTTGTTAGCTACATTTTTGTTAGGTTTTTGTTTGTAGTAGCTGTAGTTTTTGTAAACTACTTGTTGTTAGCTTTAGTTTTTGTTAGCAACTTTTTCTTTAATTTTGTTAGCTGCATTTTTGTTAGCTACTTTTTAGTTAGCTATTTTTGTTAACTACCATTTAACTTTTCTCAACTGCTCTTTTGTGAGCTACTTTTTGTTAGCTTTTTGTTAGCTTCAGATTTTGTTGATACGTTTTTGTTAGCTACTTTTTTTTTTACTATAGTTAGTAAATATATAAGTATATTGTTTTTTTACCATTATTAGCTATATTTTTTGTAAGCTACATTTTTGTTAGCATTTATTTTAATTAGCTTTTATTTTTGTTAGCTTTTGCTTTTGTTAGCTTTTGTTTTAGTTAGCTTTTATTTTTGTTAGCTTTTGTTTTTGTTAGCTTTCATTTTGTTAGCTGTAGTTTTTGTTAGCTACATTTTTGTTAGCTTAAGTTTGTGTTAGCTAACAAGGAAAATAACAATTGTAAAGCACTATTTCAGAGCTACTGAGGACTTGCAATAGAAAAGACGGCACTGCTTATAGTTTAACGTGAAATCTGGAGTTTGGTTTCAAAGAACTGGTGGAAATATCTGGTGGTAATTCTGTTGTAGCCGATCTTGTTGATTGTGTATATATATACATATATATATATATATGTATATATATATATTTTTTCAGTTTTGGAGGTTTGGGAAATGGGTGGATGTGGTCATTGACGACCTTCTGCCCGTCTTCAACGATGCCTTCTACTCGGTGCATGCAAAACCTGCCAACATGTTCTGGGTCCCTCTGTTGGAGAAGGCCTACGCTAAGTACGTTTCATCTCAAGTAATAACAAAATGCTCTCGTGTGGGTCCGGGGAATACATTATAAAACTAAAACTAAACTACTAAACTACTAAACATACTAAATTATTAGTATGTTTGCCACGAGTGAGATGCAACAAATTCTTAATGGACAAGATAAACAAACATATGTACAGGTATAATGTTTGTATGTCTGGAACAGCCTTCTACCCTCACAGAATCTGCACTGCATGGGAAGATGAATTCAATTGTCCGGTTTTATGGAAACATTTTTTCCAAAATATATACAAAACTGCCATAGATTCTTACTCTAGGGTTTTCCAAATAAAGCTATTCTATAAAATTACAGCAACAAGAAAACACCTGAATTTATGTAAGATCATTAAAAGCCCCATGTGTAGATTCTGTGAAGAGGAGGAGGAAGACCTAATGCATCTATTTTATTTTTGCCCATATGTTTCATTATTCTGGACGATGGTCCAAAGATGGTTGTGTGGATTAGGGATCGAGATTGACATCAATCCCATGAATATAATGTTGGGAATCTTGGACAGCAACTCAACGAATGTAGAGAATGTAATCATCCTGATGGGTAAAATTGTTATCTTTAAATGTAAAACCAATACAGAACTCTGTTTGAATAACTTTAAAAATAAACTGAAACAACAATATGAAATGGAAAAAAGAATAGCTTCAAACACAAAAAGCATAATTGTGCACGAAAAAAAATGGAAGATGTTGAAATGGGACTGATGTCGCATAGAAACTGGGAAATGAGAGAATGGATAGATGAAGGCCTTGGGGACTTGTGTGTGTTTGGTCTCTATGTTGTTATTTTGGTTTGTTCTTCTTATTTTGTTGTTGTTGTTTATTTAGATATATATATATATATATTATTTTTTGTCTTGCCTGTTAGTTATGTATCTGTCGGCGGGCTTGTGTATTTTGTTTTTAAGGTTGCTTGGTGGGTGGGATTTGTCATTGCGTTATGTTGTGTTGTGTGTCCTGTGTGTACATGTCTGGTGAGTGGCTGAAATAAAAAAAAAAAAAAAAACACTACACTACGCACACACACACACACAGGATAACACTCTGCCTCAAGACAGCGGGACAAGAGTGAAGCTCGAACGTCTGTCCTCCACAGTTATTCTCCTGCACCAAACAGGTCTTACTAGATAGAGATGGAGAGAGAGGAAGAGAGAGAAAGGGGGGGAGAGTGAGAGAGAGAACGAGATATGTATTGCAAGAGAGAGAAAGAGAGGGAGAGAGAAAGAGGGAGAGAAGGAGAGAGAGAAAGAGGGGGAGAGAAATATAAAGTAAGAGTCATAGAGAAAAAGAGGGAAAGAGAATCTTATTATGTTATACTTGGCTGTTTCCCCTCAGTGTGTGTGTTCCCATTTCGGTCTTGACAACAGTTGCTAAAGAGCTTTTGCTAGCTTTTTATTTGTTGTTTTTGGTTCCATTCTAAAAAAGTTGATTTTGCACAATATGTCTACTCGACAGTAGCTCAGTTGGTAGAGCATTGGCCTTAAGGCCAGAAGGTCGTGGGTTCAATTCCCACCTCTGCACCTTCTCCACCGACTCCCACTGATGACTGCTGTCGTTGTGTCCTTGGGCAAGACACTTAACCCCACTTTGCCCAAAGCCCCCACTGAAAGATCAAGGCTATGCTCACACTCAGAGAGCAGCCGTCCTCCTGTGGACTCACCACCTGCAGAGGGTCAGTGAGGAGCTGGTGCTATGAGACTTGGGTGGCATCTCTGACTGCCACCCCCCTGACCCAGAAATGGATTAAAGGGTAGAAAATGGATGGATAGATGGATGGATGTCTACTCTAATTCTTCCTACTGTATTTTTGTGTTTTGTGTGTGTGTGTGTGTGGCAGAGTGTGTGGCTCGTACCAAGACATGGACACTGGAATGACGACTGAGGCCTGCAAAGACTTGAGCGGAGCTTTAAGTCTGGCATTTCACCTTCAGCAAGCTCACGAAGGCAAACACGACGACGAGCTGTGGCTGTCTCTGTCCCTGGGCACCGGCTGCAAGTCCCTAATCTGCTGCGGGACGGCTTCAGTCAACCAAGTAACCACACACCTTTGATAATCCAACACAATCTGAGCAAATTAACAATCACCAAACTAGCCCTCTGAGACAACTACACTGCAAAAAAGTACGAGATATGAGGTAATAACACCTTGAATCAAGCGGTTTCTATCTTAACTTGAACACATTCCCACCGTCTTAAAACTCTATTCTCCAATGGGGCAAAGCTATTTAGTCTTGGCAAATTAATTGTCTGAAACCACAGTCTAAATCTGCCCAAATTAAAACACATTTTGCCAAATTTGAGCATTTAAAAAAAAAATCTTTTGCAATGTAGCAATCATTAAACTGAGGTGGTGAAGTAAAAAGATAATAATAATATTAATAAGAAATCGCAAAGGAAGGTTTCTCACCCATCATCTGTACTTCTTAGCAAGTTTTCCCAACGTTTCGTCCTCAACCTGGGGACTTCTTCAGGGAATGAATTCTCGGACCGCGCGTTGGAGATTTATAACCTATGGGTGTGGTAAGCCACACCCTAATCCTGATACTAACTCGTAAACAATCTCAGGTCTGCTTGATGTAGAAGGGGAGCAGGTCTAACGACCCTGCTGAGGCTAACGACCCTAACTCCTTAGCATGTCACAGACCTATTGTCTGCTGGGATGCTCAAGTGGAGTGCAGGTTTCACCCCTCCTAACTCATTAGCATGTCACTGACCTTGTCCCAAGTTAGGGCGTTGTTTTTAGGATGTCGTCATAGATGCGAGGCAAAACAAATCTTAACCCTCCTCCTCTGTTAAGAGAAGGTTTTTGTTTCCTCACAAAAATGGCTTCTTTCACTCCTCTCTCAAACCAATTCTTCTCCCGAGCCAGAATTTTAACCTCTGTGTCATCCACCGTGTGGTTGGAGGCCTTGAGGTGGAGATGAACAGCCGACTGTGGCCCACTAGAGTTTTCTCTACGATGTTGGTAAAGTCGTTTCTGTAGAGTTTGTTTGGTTTCTCCAATATAGTGGTCAGTGCACTCCTCTTCACTACATTTAATTGAATACACCACATTGCTCTGTTTGTGTCTGGGTGTTTTGTCTTTGGGATGCACTAATTTCTGTCTTAACGTGTTGAAAGGTTTGAAATACACAGGGATTTTGTGTTGCCTAAAGATTCTTTGTAGTTTCTCTGAAACTCCCGCCACATACGGTAAGGACACCCCTCTCCTCCTACTTTCTTCTGTCTGTAGGACTGTGTCTCTGGCCTTTCTCGTCCTTTGGGCTTTAGTAAAAGACCACTTGGGGTAGCCACATCTGGAAAGTGCTCTCTGAACATGTTTGGTTTCTCTGTTCTTTCCCTCCGAGCTAGTGGGGACCTGGTGGGCTCGGTGTTGAAGCGTTCTAATGACCCCGAGTTTGTGTTGTAGCGGATGGTTTGAATCAAAGGCCAGGTACTGGTCAGTGTGAGTGGACTTTCTGAAGACCTCAGTCTCTAATTGTCCGTTCTCCAGTATGATGACCTTACAATCTAGAAAGGCGAGTTCACTCTCCTTAGCATCCTCGCGAGTGAAATTTATAAAAGGGTCCACCGAGTTAATGTGTGCTGAAAATGGTTCCACTTCCTGTTTCTTTAACTTCACCCATGTATCGTCTACATATCGAAACCAATGGCTTGGCGCTGTCCCTTGGTAAGAGCCCAGGGCTTGTTCCTCCAGTTTCTCCATATACAGATTGGCCACTATCGGAGAGACTGGGGAGCCCATCGCACAGCCATGAATCTGTCTAAAGAAGGTGCCTCTAAATTGGAAATACGTGGTGTTAAGACACATTTCAAGTATTTCACAGATGTGGTCAGCTGTTAGTTTCGTTCTCTCCCCTAGTGTGGCGTCTTTCTGTAGGCTTTCTCTTACAGCCTCCACCGCCTCTGTAATAGGGACCGACGTAAAAAGCGATGTCACATCAAACGAGACCATTGTCTCATCTGTGTCAAACTGGAGGTGTTTGATTTTATTTACAAATTCTTTTGTGTTTTCTATGTGATGGTGGGTGTTGTTACCCACCAAAGGAGCCAGAATGGTTTTGAGGTGTTTAGCCAGGTTGTAGGTGATAGAGTCTATGCTACATACAATAGGCCGAAGTGGAAAGTTTTGTTTGTGTATTTTTGGGAGGCCATAAATACTGGGGATGGTGTCTCCTGGGTAAAGTTTGTAATATAGTGGTTTTTCAATAATGCCCTCTTTCATTAAGTTCTGAAGGAAGTCTATAATCTTTTTCCTAAACCCACTGGTAGGGTCCCTCTTCAATGGCTGGTACGTGTTGGTGTCCAAGAGTAACTGATTAACTTTGGCCTCATAGTCTGAGCTGTTGAGGATAACTGTGCATCTGCCTTTGTCAGCTGGTAAAATAGTTATATTCTCATCCTTTTGTAATGCCAATAATGCTTTTTGCTCATCTAATGAGACATTGGATTGTGGGGGCTTCGCACTTTTGAGTGTGGCAGAGACTCTCAGTCTGAGGGCCCCTGCCTCACTCTCAGTTAGTTTGTTGTTTCTAATGGCTGCTTCTGCTGCTGTGATGTATTCAATTGTAGGAATATCTTTTGGGGTTATTGCAAAATTTAGGCCTTTGGTAAGAACATCTTTTTCCGCTTGTGATAAATGCCGATCAGACAGATTTTTGACCCAATTCTCCCTGTCCAAACCTTGTCCAATTTCACTTTTAGAATGTTGAAAAGAATTATGGTTTTGGAGTTTTAGAAATTTGCCGATCTGACGTTCTTTGGCCTTCTTGTGATGGTTCAGTTGGGCAGTTTCCGTAAACGTCCAAATCCTCTGAAAAAACTCTGGTGAGACTGCCAATTCCAGTTTGTGCTTAAGGCCCTCTATCTCGTCCTTTAGGTTTATAATCTCTATGTTAAGTCGTCGAATTCTTAAATTGAGAATCTTCATACAGTAGTTTTGTTGTATTTTCCTTGCCAACTGGCCTGTTTCTAATGCTTTTTGCTTTAAACATTTTGGAATAAGTTTACTCTGGCTACACCTAAGATTAAACCTAAGATGATTTCTGGCGTCTGCTAGTTTTCTTTTGATTTTCTCCAACCCGCGTGCCAAGACCAGGGCGTCTCTCCCAAAGTTGGCAACGATAAGTTTGTGTAAGCCCTCAGTCGTACAGGGATTAGTCAAAGCAAAGGAAGGTTTCTCACCCATCATCTGTACTTCTTAGCAAGTTTTCCCGACGTTTCGTCCTCAACCTGGGGACTTCTTCAGGGAAAGTTAAAGAAACAGGAAGTGGAACCATTTTCAGCACACATTAACTCGGTGGACCCTTTTATAAATTTCACTCGCGAGGATGCTAAGGAGAGTGAACTCGCCTTTCTAGATTGTAAGGTCATCATACTGGAGAACGGACAATTAGAGACTGAGGTCTTCAGAAAGTCCACTCACACTGACCAGTACCTGGCCTTTGATTCAAACCATCCGCTACAACACAAACTCGGGGTCATTAGAACGCTTCAACACCGAGCCCACCAGGTCCCCACTAGCTCGGAGGGAAAGAACAGAGAAACCAAACATGTTCAGAGAGCACTTTCCAGATGTGGCTACCCCAAGTGGTCTTTTACTAAAGCCCAAAGGACGAGAAAGGCCAGAGACACAGTCCTACAGACAGAAGAAAGTAGGAGGAGAGGGGTGTCCTTACCGTATGTGGCGGGAGTTTCAGAGAAACTACAAAGAATCTTTAGGCAACACAAACTCCCTGTGTATTTCAAACCTTTCAACACGTTAAGACAGAAATTAGTGCATCCCAAAGACAAAACACCCAGACACAAACAGAGCAATGTGGTGTATTCAATTAAATGTAGTGAAGAGGAGTGCACTGACCACTATATTGGAGAAACCAAACAAACTCTACAGAAACGACTTTACCAACATCGTAGAGAAAACTCTAGTGGGCCACAGTCGGCTGTTCATCTCCACCTCAAGGCCTCCAACCACACGGTGGATGACACAGAGGTTAAAATTCTGGCTCGGGAGAAGAATTGGTTTGAGAGAGGAGTGAAAGAAGCCATTTTTGTGAGGAAACAAAAACCTTCTCTTAACAGAGGAGGAGGGTTAAGATTTGTTTTGCCTCGCATCTATGACGACATCCTAAAAACAACGCCCTAACTTGGGACAAGGTCAGTGACATGCTAATGAGTTAGGAGGGGTGAAACCTGCACTCCACTTGAGCATCCCAGCAGACAATAGGTCTGTGACATGCTAAGGAGTTAGGGTCGTTAGCCTCAGCAGGGTCGTTAGACCTGCTCCCCTTCTACATCAAGCAGACCTGAGATTGTTTACGAGTTAGTATCAGGATTAGGGTGTGGCTAACCACACCCATAGGTTATAAATCTCCAACGCGCGGTCCGAGAATTCATTCCCTGAAGAAGTCCCCAGGTTGAGGACGAAACGTTGGGAAAACTTGCTAAGAAGTACAGATGATGGGTGAGAAACCTTCCTTTGCTTTGACTAATCCCTGTACGACTGAGGGCTTACACAAAAATTAATAAGAAATACATTTTATTTAAGAGCGCCTTTCAAAACACCCAAGAACACTGTACAAACATCGATAAAAACATATTCCAATGGTTGTGTCTTACAACAGAGAGCTCAAAGAGAGACAGAAGGAAGAGAGAGAGAGAACGAGATAGAGACAGGGAAAGGGAGAGAAAGAGGGAGACAGAGAGAGAGCGAGAAACCAAACCATCAATCTGACCAAACAAACGGCAAACAATTAAAATAATTGTATACTTCATTTTTTTTACCTTGAGAATTCCATTAGTCAAAATTACTTCATTCCACATAAAAAAGAAACCAAGTAGAATGTTTAAAGGAAAAAAAATGTCCTATACGCATTTTTTTGCCCATTCCAAATCCCAAAGAGACTATTTACTTTGCCATTTCAGGTTTTAGATGATCAGTTAACATGCAATGGGCCTGCACTATCCCCATGCTCCACTGGACTCACAAGAAAACAGGTATTATTTATGAAACAAACATGTCAGGTACCCCAGCTTTAATCGTGTAATTGTAGAAAAGGGAAATTTTTCCCGTTGCACACTTATAAACCTTTTGGGGATTTATTTTTCTCTTTTCTTTTCAGGGAAAGGTCGTCAACAGCGTAAACGACAACGGCCTGGTCAACGCTCACGCCTATTCTGTGACGGGGGTTGCTCAGGTAATTACCCCAACGCAGTGTCTTTAGCAACTTCCTGGATGTGGCAGCTACGTCCACGATTGCTGCAAACCAACAAACAACAATATACAGTGCAGACCAAAAGTTTGGACACACCTTCTCATTCAAAGAGCTTTTTATTTTCATGATTATAAAAATTGTAGATTCACATCAAAACTATGAATTAACTCATGTGGAATTATGTACGTACAAAAAAAAAGTATGAAATATGTGTTATATTCTCGGTTCTTCAAAGTAGCACCTTTTGCTCTGATTACTGCTTCACACACTTTTGGCATTCTATTGATGAGCTTCTAGAGGACCTGAAATGGTCTGAGTTCCCACAGATGCTTAGCACTTGTTCACTCTGTGGTCCAGCCCCAAAACCATCTGGATTGGGTTCAGGTCCAAAACCATCTGGATTGGGTTCAGGTCCAAAACCATCTGGACTGGGTTCAGGTCCGGTGACTGTGGAGGCCGGGTCATCTGGCCCAGCAGCACCACTCTCCTTATTGGACAAATAGCCCTTACACAGCCTGGTGTGAATCTACAGTCAATATTCATGAAAAGAAAGGACACTCACTGAATGAGAAAGTGTGTCCAAACTTTTGGTCTGTACTGTAGATCAATCAATCAACAGTTATTTCCATAGCCCAGTTCATACAGAATACAACCCAAAGTGCTTCACGTTGACAACATTTAAAAACAATTAAAAACACACCGTAAAAACCATTGGGAGCGGGTCACCCCACTACACCCCCACCGGCCCAGGTGTACCCGGAAAGGGAATTACCCCATGCTTTTGGCGTCTTCTTTCTCTCATCAACGACTTTACAAGATGGTCCAAAAGTTGGCTCTTGGCTCGACTCTATGTTCCAGATGTGTGTCAATGATGAGGGGAGTATATTTTTTTGGGCCACTCTAGTTTAGCCGCTGTTTAGTCTACTTTACGATGCTGAATGGGGCTATTGCCGGCTAACGCATGCGCAAATGCATTTTTTCACATTTTCCTGCCTTGCGGCCATTTTGCCGCCCAAAGTAGGCAAAAGTGGTGGCACATTAGTGATTTCCATTAATATTTTGCAGTCTATGGTACAAACACAATTTAATAGAAATATGGTACAAACACAATTTAATAGAAACAAAAAAGAATACAGTAAGTACACTTTCCGATACTAACAAGTATCATGGTCACAGGTTTATCACCGCGGCTACAAAGTGAAGCTGGTGCGGCTGCTGAACCCATGGGGCTCACAGGAGTGGAACGGAAAATGGAGTGATAAGTCAGAAACATTATATTACTGTATACACTGCAAAAAGTGATGAAAATAAGTCAAATTTGGCAAAATGTATTTTAATTTGAGCAGATTCTGACTGCCTCAAAACAAGATTTTCCAATGAAACCAAGATCATTTTTACAAGATACAAGCAACGGGCAACAGTAGCTCAGGTGATCGTGGGTTTGATACCACCACAAGACCTACTCCCACTGATCCATGGGCAACACACTTAACCCCACTTTGCTCGAAGCCCCGCTGAAAGACCAAGGCTGGGTCATCCATGACGGAGAAGCCATCTTCCTATAGCCATCTTCCTTCCAATGCACAAGCATTGTCTCCCTTGGAATGAGAGAAAAAAACAGCAGTTCTTGAAATAAGACTAAATGGCTTTCTGTCGTTGGAAAATGTTGTTTTAAAGCAGTCAGAATGTACTCAAATTAAGATAAAAACCATTTGATTCAAGGATTTATTACCTCATATTGTATCATGTTTTGCAGTGTACATACATGATATTGTAGTAATAAAAGTAGCAGGTGTTCACGTCTGGTCTGGTCCACAGCTCTCCTCTGTGGAACCAGGTGAGCAGAGAGGATCGGGCCAAGTGTGAGAAGGACGATAACGGAGAGTTTTGGTTTGTAGACGCTGGGATAACACAAAACACGAGACTGTGACTGTGGGAGACTGTTATTATACATATTATGCAAAATCGATCCTTTCTCAGTCCTGTCAGAGTATGATGTCATGGTACCACTGGGACATCACACATCTCAAAACAGCTGTTGTGCCACTGGACTGAACAAAGTTGCTGATTGGTTTTCACGCTCCTCAATCTGTCGCTGTTTGTCCGATATATACTAAAACGTGTGATATTATTTAAATTCAGTTTTGTTTTGAGAATAATCTATGTAGTGACATTTGATTATACTGTCTGATATGACTTGAACTCAAAATAAATAAGATAAGATACACTTTAGTGATCTCACAATGAAGACATTTACAATAATAAAAACTCAACTCATTTCAGAGTATGGTCTTGTTTATTTTAATATTTTTGTTTTTAATGGCCAGGATGGAGTGGGAGGATTTCTGCCATAACTTTATCATGCTGTCGATCTGCTGTGAAAACCCCAACTTTATGGACGGAGACCTGGGCTGTCAGTGGCAGCTGATGACACATGAGGGGAAGTGGGACAGCGCTGGCGGCAGCCTCATCTACTGTGAGTCCAAAAACATTCAAGATTCAGCTTATTTTGTGTTTTTCCTGTGTCTCTCTGTGTCTATGTATCTTTTGCTCATCCACCCTTGTTGCTGGTCCATCGTCTTTGTCTCTCTTTGTCCCGGGTTCTGTTTTGGATTTTGATTTTACCTTGTACTTTTATTTCATCATGTTCATTAAATCCAACGTTTTTGAAAAAGGTACAAAGTTAAAAGCAACAACACTAAAAACAGTTAAAAAATAAAATCTGTGATGAGGCCAGTCTGAATTCATGTGTTCTGAGCATAAACATGTACATAGACTGTATACAGATAGACAATGCTAACCTGCTAGCTCAATGAAGCCCAATAGGGAAGTGCTCATGGATGAAGTTTTGCTCTCAACTCAGGGTGTGTGTGGCGATGCGTGCGCCACAGTTTTTCAAATATTCTCGTGTTTAACATCCAATGTTGATATGAAACTGCATAAGACTGAGGCATTTGAACAACTTGTCCTCCCTGCAGCCACTTACCACACCAACCCCCAGTTCCGGATCCAGGTGGACATCAGGAACGATGACGAGGAGTTTGACATGAACTGTTTCGTCTCTCTGATGCAAAAGCCGAGGCAGAAAAATCGCAAACATGCCCGATACTACTCAATCTCTGCAACGGTCTACTCGGTCAGCATCTGCAAATCGAGTCACGTACAAACAGTTACTTCATGTATTTTAATGTTGTGCTTTCTCCCTTTTTCACAGATTCCGTCTGGGGTAAGTGCAAAACTGGTTACAGTGTGTACAATGCAAATATTAAAACAGCAATTACTCATTTTGCATCAGAAATAAATGTGTTGCATGGATATGTTCGACCGCAGCCATATAGAGAAGGGTGAGGAGCTGAGTCACACAAGAGGATTTTATTTTCTATTTTATTTTACTGTTATTTGTGTACATACATGCACACACATTTTTTTTTTTTCAATTTTGATTTTTGATACTTTTACTATTTTACAATCGACTTGTTTTAACTAGTCTTTTATTGGGCAGCACTTTAGAAACTGTGGTAAAGAAACATGCTAAATAAATAAAGTGGATTGGATTGAAGAGTACAGCTGCTTGGAGTAGAGCCGCTGCTCCTTCACATTGAGAGTAGTCAGTTGGCGGCTCAGGCAGGAGGCTCGGGAACAACTTTTTAGACATTTTTGTGAGAAGTTAGTTTCTGATTTTCCCAGAAATAGTGAAAATGAGCTCGATACTGTCTGAAAACCATTCTGACGGTAGAGGTTGTTATTTACCATTTGATTTGTTTACTAAACCATTTTCAGACCAGACCAGGACGTCTTGATCGTAATTTCTTCAGACAAAACAGGCCGATAGAGGATATCCAACACGCTGAAATGAGGGAGACTGTGACTTGGTACAGTCTGAGTCCAGGGGAGTACCTCATCGTCCCGTCCACTATGCTCCAGCACACCAGGGCTGACTTTGTGCTGTCCATCTACACCAAGACCCAAATGAAAATAGAGTAAGAGATGTCTCTGCACACTTCCATAGTCAGTCCCACCGCTTTATGCAATGTCAGCAAAAACCCCTCCCTCCTATTACCAATAACATGTTTTTGCAATAACAACAACATCTGGTAGTAGAAGCCAAGGAAACTAAAACATGAAAGATACACTCCATCCTGACCAGGCAAAAACAGTGGGATTTTAAGACAGTAAATACCCATCAATTTCAAGGCAAGTTTATTTGTATAGCACAGTTCATACACAAGGCAAATCAAAGTGCTGAACAAAATAAGATACAATACAATCATAAAGAATCACAGCAGGAGGTCAGTCCCTGTGCTCCTCAGAGTCCCAGCAGGAGGCCAGTCCCTTTGCCCCTCAGAGTCCCAGCAGGAGGCCAGTCCCTGTGCTCCTCAGAGTCCCAGCAGGAGGCCAGTCCCTGTGCTCCTCAGAGTCCCAGCAGGAGGCCGGCCCCTGTTCTCCTCAAAATACCAGTTTGTTCATGTGGTACTAACTATCAATACAACTGTTGTCTAGATTTTAAATTCATATACGTTATAAGTTTGCATAGACCACTTGCAATGCAGCACACAGACAAAAACTGTACCTCCAAAGAAATAAATAAAGTAAGAATATAAATGTGCTCTCAGTTCATTTGAAGGGGAGGATGAAGATGACGACCACGACCATGACCACGACCACGAGGAAAACGGAACAGACGAGGACCTGATTCTCCCAAAGGTACATCTGTTTCTTATACTACTAATTCTGAAATATGTTACTTAAAGATGGGGTATAACTTGTGGTATCAATCAAACCACCCTCACTCAGCCAATCAGCTCAGAGGGCTCTTTCGTACGAGTATACAGAGGATTACATGTTTTATAATAAGATAAAGACTCTTTATTGTGGTCTGACTTGTTTACTTTTCACTTTTACAGAAACAGACTATAGGCTGCTACTTTACCAGACCATAAAGCATAATGGAAACACAATCAGGTAGAGTAGGGTAGAGTAGAGTAGAGGCTATGCTGTAACTGTTTTGTTTGTTTATTGTTTTTGGTACATGTTAATGAGAATGTTGTCCCACATTCGCACTCACAAACACACACACATTCATTCACCCTGAACTATTGCACATGTTTTTAGTGGTAGGGGAAACCGGAGTACCCGGAGGAAACCTACACAGACACGAGGAGAACATGCAAACTCCACTCAGAACTCCACTCACTGTTTCGACTGGGATTCGAACCCAGAACCTTCTTGCTGAAAGGCGAGAGTGCTATCCACTCAGCCACCGTAACCGTCCTCTCCCTTGGTCCTCTCTATGGTCTTCTCAGCGGTCCTCTCCCTTGGTCCTCTCTGTGGTCCTCTCAGCGGTCCTCTCGGTGGTCCTCTCTGTGGTCTTCTCAGTGGTCCTCTCTGCGGTTCTCTCTGCGGTCATCTCTGCGGTCCTCTCAGTGGTCCTCTCTGCGGTCCTCTCAGTGGTCCTCTCTGTGGTCTTCTCAATGGTCCTCTCAGTGGTCCTCTCTGCGGTCCTCTCAGTGGTCCTCTCAGTGGTCCTCTCTGTGGTCATCTCTGCGGTCCTCTCAGTGGTCCTCTCTGCGGTCCTCTCAGTGGTCCTCTCTGCGGTCCTCTCTGTGGTCTTCTCGGTGGTCCTCTCTCTGCGGCCCTCTCTGTGGTCATCTCTGCGGTCCTCTCAGTGGTCCTCTCTGCGGTCCTCTCAGTGGTCCTCTCTGCGGTCCTCTCAGTGGTCCTCTCTGCGGTCCTCTCTGTGGTCTTCTCAGTGGTCCTCTCTCTGTGGTCCTCTCTGTGGTCTTCTCAGTGGTCCTCTCTGCGGTTCTATCTGCGGCCCTCTCTGTGGTCATCTCTGCGGTCCTCTCAGTGGTCCTCTCTGCGGTCCTCTCAGTGGTCCTCTCTGCGGTCCTCTCAGTGGTCCTCTCTGTGGTCTTCTCAATGGTCCTCTCAGTGGTCCTCTCAGTGGTCCTCTCTGTGGTCTTCTCAGTGGTCCTCTCTGCGGTTCTCTCTGCGGCCCTCTCTGTGGTCATCTCTGCGGTCCTCTCAGTGGTCCTCTCTGCGGTCCTCTCAGTGGTCCTCTCTGTGGTCTTCTCAATGGTCCTCTCAGTGGTCCTCTCTGCGGTCCTCTCAGTGGTCCTCTCAGTGGTCCTCTCTGCGGTCCTCTCTGCGGTCCTCTCAATGGTCCTCTCTGTGGTCCTCTCAGTGGTCCTCTCTGTGGTCTTCTCAGTGGTCCTCTCTGCGGTTCTCTCTGCGGCCCTCTCTGTGGTCATCTCTGCGGTCCTCTCAGTGGTCCTCTCTGCGGTCCTCTCAGTGGTCCTCTCTGCGGTCCTCTCAGTGGTCCTCTCTGTGGTCTTCTCAGTGGTCCTCTCTGCGGTCCTCTCAGTGGTCCTCTCTGTGGTCTTCTCAATGGTCCTCTCAGTGGTCCTCTCTGTGGTCTTCTCAATGGTCCTCTCAGTGGTCCTCTCAGTGGTCCTCTCTGCGGTCCTCTCAGTGGTCTTCTCAATGGTCCTCTCTGCGGTCCTCTCAGTGGTCCTCTCTGCGGTCCTCTCAGTGGTCTTCTCAATGGTCCTCTCAGTGGTCCTCTCTGTGGTCCTCTCAGTGGTCCTCTCAGTGGTCTTCTCAGTGGTCCTCTCTGTGGTCCTCTCTGTGGTCCTCTCTGTGGTCGTCTCTGTGGTCCTCTCTGTGGTCGTCTCTGTGGTCCTCTCTGTGGTCTTCTCAATGGTCCTCTCTGCGGTCCTCTCAGTGGTCCTCTCTGTGGTCCTCTCAGTGGTCCTCTCAGTGGTCTTCTCAGTGGTCCTCTCTGTGGTCCTCTCTGTGGTCCTCTCTGTGGTCGTCTCTGTGGTCCTCTCTGTGGTCCTCTCTGTGGTCCTCTCTGTGGTCCTCTCTGTGGTCCTCTCTGTGGTCCTCTCTGTGGTCGTCTCTGTGGTCCTCTCTGTGGTCGTGTCTCCACTGCAGTAGGACCACTTGACGACGTCATGAGTTTTGATTGCTGCATAAGTAAAACTCATTACGCCAATCCGATTTGTTTATTTTACGGTCATAACCACTCAGGTTGTTGTGGTCTATACTTTTTTATAGTCTTGCTTCTGTTTTTGTTGTTTTGGAGTGTGATGAATCCCCGGTGCTTTGAGGTGACGCTGATATGTGTAAAAAAATCTTTTCATTTCAGCGCAATGCCTCAAACCCTGTGTGAATCAATGCCGTGCTGTTGTTTTCTGTTTCCAGTGGTATCTGCCAGGCTAATGCTGTTAGGCTAATGCTGCTGGGCTAATGCTGCTGGGCTAATGCTGCTGAGCTAATGCTGCTAGGCTAATGCTGCTAGGCTAATGCTGCTGGGCTAAATCTGCTGGGCTAAATCTGCTGGGCTAATGCTGCTGGGCTAATGCTGCTGAATGCCTGTTGTATTGGTGCTTTCTGCTGGCGTCAGAGCTAGCTTTAGCCAATCAGCGTCGGGTTAACCTCAAGTCCCACCAAGGCCCAACAGAGAACCTAGCACGGAGGAGAGACCCCGTTGAGTCCCATAAAAGTTCCTGTAAATGGCCCTGTGGAGCAAGTTCCTGAAGTGGAGACACCACCGACGGGGCTGGCCCTGGGAAATTACCCCAAAGTGTCTGCGGTGGAAACGCAGACACTTTGGGGTAATTTCAAAATGTAGCTGGTCTGGTTTATATACAGGTGCACTTAAAAGTTCAAAAAGTACTGTATTTATGGGACAAGAAAGTGAGGTATCCTATTGTTATCATGAAAATGTGCCATAATAGTATCGCGTAATTGCTATACAGATACTAGGCCCAACACAGGTGGATATAAAAGAGAGGACATTTAAAGACACTTAACAAGTTACAGACATAAACAAAAGAACAATTATACCAGGATGTTGCTTTGGAGAGAGAGAGAGGACCCTGAAACAGACTTCTGACTACATGATGCTGATAAGTGATGCCAAGACAGAGATCTCAAGAAGGGATTCTAGCTCATGTATATAGCTAGGATGACATCACATCTAAGGTCACCCTCAATTGGTCAGAGGGGTCCGCTGGTCAGTCAGGAGCCAGCCAGCAGATAATTGTGGCCCCGGAGGGAGGGGGGGCGGACATTAGATGACAGGAAACTCATACCTATCTTTAAAAATGTTTATATAACATAGTTATCACTCGTGTAGGAATGGACCTGACGTGTATTGAGGAAAAGAAAAATCGACTTTTTCTGCTGTAGTTGTAATGTGTGTTGGTTGAATATTCTGCAGATCCCCACTGACCATGGACCTGGAGACGTGGACGAAAACGCCGATCCAAAGCACATATTTGAACAATACGCCGACTGGGTTTGTCATCTTTATGATTTGACATATTTTCTGCATTTGGGACGACTTCACATCAATGCCGAGTCTTGTCTTCTTTGCAGAGAGGAGAGCTGAACGAGAGGAATCTCCAGAAGCTCCTGAACCACCAATTCTCCCGCGGTAAGCCTATAGTTATGTGTTTAGGAGGATTTTCCAGAATTTTTTACCCTCTGTTTACAAAGTCACTGTCGCTCACTTTCCAAGAAGGTTTGCCAGACATGTCAGACAATATAAAAGGAATTGACTGTTTTCTCATATGGCACTACCGTTGCGAATTTTGACGGTTAAAGACTTTGTGATTTCAGGATATGTTCCTGTTCACATACAACAAAAACAGCATTATAATGTTAGTTTTGTATTATTACACCATATGACTGTTTCTAATTAGTTTCATTGGACATAAAACTACACAGTTTAATTTTGTTTTCCTTTAGTGAAAAACAACTTTTCTATTATTTTTTAACATCTTCAGTTTATACAAGATAATAGTATAAATCTTGACTTCTATAACATGCTTAATGCAAAAGCATCTCTTACACTCATGGTTGCTCGCTAGCAAAAATTTCCCAGCATTCCAAAAATACAACAAGTTGATGTTAAATTACGGTAATCACATTGTGATTTGATGGTATTGTAACGTTTTTTGTAATCACATTATAATTGTGGTTATAAAACGCCACTGGATTTTTTAAAACCATTTTATACTTAAATTTGCATGTTTAAATTGTTTTTCAAAATAACATTTGTTTAATGTTGAAATTTCATTGTAATTTTACAGAAATGTGTTACAGTGTAGGCTAGAGGCAAGGCTTGTGCTGCCTAACCCCGTTTAAAACTGTGACACTATCCAAAGAGGACACACAATCGATGCTAACAAGTGATAATATAAATACTTTCTTAGCTTTTCTTTTATCTGTTGGTACCAAAGCCTGATGCTGAGGCTGAGTTTACACGGAGACAATGTGGCAGTAAAACGCTATAGTTGGATGTCGGTTTCTACCAACCGTTCATACGAAGACTGTGTTTCAGGGGGGTGAAAACGTAAGTGTTCAGATCCAGCCTGCAGAGTTGGACAACTCAGAAACGCTGCACAGCGGGGGCTCCCTTTCACACCCGCGAGAGGGAAAAGGTGTGAAATCCCCCTCTGCTCTGACCCCCGCCTCAGCGCTGCTCCCCGCGCGTAAATTTGGACATGCGCAGTAGCGGAGAACAAACATCAACAACAATGGCGGCGGTCACACTAACTAGCTACGTGGGCTTCCAGCGCGGCACAGAGGATAATTCTACTCCTTTGTTCGTCCAAACGAGACCACGCGAAGCTCTAGGTTCAGTTTCCATTTTCACAGCTGCTGTTAAAATGCAGAATGATGTTGGTGCGTCCTGAGGGTCTGGTACAGGAAGTGAGTATACTGCCGAGAGGGGGGCCAGGCCATGGATCTATTATAATAACTGGATAGGGTGTTACTAGCTTGTAGCTGAATAACTCATGTGCTCGGGGGATTCTCTCGGTACTGCAGACTGAACCAGACTAAATTCACGTGGGCTACCCAGAAATTTTCCCCATAGAACTCATTGCATATTAAAACACCTCAACCTTGTCATCCTGAACTTTTTTTCTTCTTAAATCCTTCGGTTTTGTTTAAATCCACACTTTAGTGCCACAAACTCTGCTTGTCTGGCTCTCGCTCTAACTCGCGCTCTGATGAACTGCTCTGATTGGTCAGAGCGCGGCCGAGCCCCTCTGTGCACGTGCGTGAGACCTGGTGTGAGACCCACACACGCGTGTTTGGCGCAACGCATTATGGGAGATCATCCACTGCACAGAACCGGGAGGATTAATAGTTACCTAATGTAACTTAAGTTCTACGAATAGGTGCGTACAGTAGTCCCTTAGGACTTTGCTAGTGGGATATCACTCGTGACCCCCAGGTCACACGCCAGAGAGATCAAAATAATTTGCTCCAATCACCAGCCACCTTCCTCTATAAATGCCCCTGCACAAGGCCGAACCCCCTCTTGAACTCTGCCAAGCCGGGCTGGCCTGATGGGCTCGTAGCTAAGGGACTACGCACCTATTCGTAGAACTTAAGTTACATTAGGTAACTATTAATTCTACGTCATGGTGCTACGTCCCTTAGGACTTCGCTAGTGGGACACAACGCGGAGGCCGTAGGAACATGTACTCCCAGCAGGCCAGCGAAGGGTGATTGGAGCTCCGCCCGAGCAAGACCCTCACACCGTGAGAGGACTCAGGGCAGAAGAAAGAAAGCGTTTTACAGGGCCACTCCTACCAAGGATGCCCCCACGTAACACAGATCGTAGGTCATCCGTAGTCACAGGACGCCTCTCCCAAGAGCTCCTGACGTGGACTACCAGACTGACCAAACACACATATATGTACCGCACCTGTAGGATGCCTCTCCCAAGAGCTCCTGAACTAGGGCAGAAATAAACCGAAGGCCCCCTCAGAGGAGGGACCTAACGGTCTAACTCAGTCCGCTGCACTCAGCACGGAATGGGCCACCGACCGGTCCGACACATCCAAAAGATAAGACGGGACGAAAGAGGAGGACGACGCCCAAGAAGCCGCACGGCAGACGTCCTCGACCGACGCCCCCCTGAGAAGGGCCGTAGAGGCCGCCATCCCACGCGTGGAATGCGACCTGAAGCCCACCGGGGGGGCCAGACCCTGCGACTGATACGCACGCCGCACAGCCGTGGCGACCCAGTGCGCCAGCCGCTGGGCCGACAGCGGGGCGCCCCTGTTCTTGGGGCCCAGACACACAAACAGCTGACTACCCAACCTGAATGACGACATCATGGCCAGGTAATGCCTCAGCATTCTGACAGGACACAGAAGGTGCCGCCGCTCCTCCTCGGGGGAGGCATGCGGTGGCGGATAGAAAGCCCTAATCCTGATGACTCTCGACCTAAAGGCCGACGTGATGACCTTGGGGAGAAAAGCCGGATTGGGCCACAATTCCACCATGCCGTCGCCCTCTCCAAAGGACAGGCAAGACGCATGGACAGAGAGCGCACACAAATCGCCCGCCCTCTTAGCAGACGCCAACGCCAGCAAGAGGGCCGTCGCGCCCCCCGCAGAAAACGTTTAACCAACGGATGAGAGGGGGCTGTGAACCCCCCGAATCCGTCGTGACCCGAAGTAATGGCTGCCGCGAACACCGCCAAGGTGGCGACAGCCCTCCCCTTGTCAAAGAGCTCCTGTAGGAATCCCAGGACCCCCTCCAGCGGGCAACGCCTGGGATCCCAGGAACGGGAACCGCACCAGACACTGAAGAGCCTCCACCTCGTGGCGTAGGCCCTCACAGTGGACGGCGCCCTCGCCCCCTGAATGGTCTCCACCACCGCAGGGGGAAGACCCAGGTCTACGAGGTTCCGCCTCTCAGCCTCCAAACCCAGAGCCTGCGGCCGATTATCGGGCGTGAAAACAGGGCTCCTCCCCCCTGGACTAGAGCCCCCGGCTCGTCCGGGAGGGCCCACGGCTCCATCACCGCCATGCCCCTCAGGAAGGGGAACCACCGGGCATGCGGACTGTCCGGAGCCACCAGGATCACCGACCTCCTCTCCTGTTCGATCCTCCGCAGCAGGACCGGCAGGAGACGCACCGGTGGGAAAGCGTACAGCAGGCCGCCTGGCCAGGGGTAATGAGCCAGAGCGTCCACGCCTAAGGGCGGCTCGTCCGCGGCCCTTAAGGCGAACCAGGACGGGCACTGTGCGTTCTCTGCACTGGCGAAAAGGTCGACCACTGGACGGCCGAACCTCCGCCAGATCTCCGCAGCTACCCGCGGGGCCAGGCCCCACTCGTCCTGGAGTGGGCCCCCCCTGGACATCCTGTCGGCCCCCACGTTCCGGACCCCCGGGACGTGGCGCGCCCTGAGAGACAGGAGGTGAAGCGCCGCCCACAGCAGCGTCACCGTCGCCATGCGATGGAGAGCGGGGGACCTGGTGCCCCCCTGCCTGTTCAGATATGAGACAACTGTGGTGTTGTCTGAGCGAACCATCACATGTCTCCCCTGCAGCTGAGGAGCAAAGTGCAGCAGTACCCTGTGCACTGCCTCCATCTCCAGCAGGTTGATGTGACGGGCTGAGTCCGACCAGCAGCCTCCTACAGAGCTCTGGCCAAGGACCCCGCCCCATCCTTCGAGCGACGCGTCCGTGAACACCTCCATGTGAGACACGGCGCAGGCCAGAGTCACTCCGTCCCGCAATAGACCCGGAGTGAGCCAGAACCTGATGTCCGATGCTGCCACTTGGGGAACCCAGATCAGCCTCCCCCCGTCCCGGGAGGGGTGAAGCCTGAGGCGCGAGAACCACCTCTGAAAATTCCTCATGTGGAGCAGGCCTAGCCGCACCACAGCATGAGCCGCCGCCATCATTCCCAGCAGGGACCTGAGGCGCCGAGCGGGGACTCTGGGGCCCACCAGAACCTCCCGGGCCAGACGGGTAATATTCATTCGTCTGTCCACGGATAATGCAGCACGGAATGTCACAGAGTCTAACTGCAGACCGAGATAAATCATGCGTTGAGCTGGCTGCAGCTTGCTCTTCTCCCTGTTCACCACAAAGTCCAGACGCTGTATGTGGGACAGGACCCAGTGCGTGTGGCTCACGGCCACTTCCCTGGATGCGGCGAGAATTAACCAGTCGTCTATGTAGGTCAAAATTCTTACCCCTGCGCGTCTGAGCGGCTCCAGTGCTGCTTCCACGCACTTGGAGAAGGTCCGAGGCGCGAGTGCATAACCGAAGGGAAGACGGCAGTACTCGTAATTCCTCTCTCCCACTGCGAAGCGCAGAAATCTCCTGTGTTCTGGCACTATGGGCATGTGGAAGTACGCATCCGTCAGGTCTATGGATGTCATCCAGTCTCCCTCCCTGACGCACTCGAGGAGCTGCTTTGTGGACAGCATCCGAAACTGCCGTTTGGAAATGCACTCGTTCAACACGCGCAGATCCAGAATGGGACGCACCCCGCCTGACTTCTTTGGCACTAAGAAGTAAGGGGAGTACAGCCCCCTGGTGGCGTCCTGCGGGTCTACCTCCACTGCTGCGCCTCGACTCAGCAGAGAGGAGACCTCCGCTTGCAGTGCCTCTATCGATCCCCGTACCTGAGAGCGTACTGCCCGTACGCCTCGGAATGGTGGTGGCTTTCGGAAAAATTGCAGTGCAGAACCCCTGCGCAATGTTTTCTCCAGCCATATATCTGTCAGCAAACCTTCCTCCCTCCAGATGCTGTAGAAGTCTGTGAGGGGCGGAACGGGAGCTGGAACACGAGACGTCACGGCCCCGCCCTCTCCTGGTGTTCCTAGCAGGGAGGGGGGGTGGCTGAAAGGGCCGGGGGGCCCCCTGCGTCACACCGTGAGCGCCGGGGGCGGTCACGTGTTCTGCAGGCCCGACGTCATAAGTACGGGACTGCTCACCACACGTGACTCGGCTGCTGTGCCCCCCCCTGGCTCTTGCCTCATAGAGGGGGGGCGAGCCCCTGGAGTAGGAAACCCCGTGTTAGCCTTGTAGCTCAGAGATGCTAACACGCGTTCGGCCGAAGCACACACATCATTACTCACCAGATCCCTCCGCCTGCCCTCTCTCTGGGAGGGCATATCATGAACCCGTGAATCGGAGCTCGTGGCTCGCGTAGCGCACTGCACGCCCTTCTCTGGGGGCTGCAGGCCTGCGAAGCCACGTTATGTGCTCGATAAGTAACACAATCAGAATTCAGATCATTTGACATGTTACATACCCCCAAATGAGACTCAGACAGCGAGTACTGATGAAATGCCGGTCGGCTTTTATTGAAAGAATTCTTCCCACCCCGACCTCCTCTGCCATAGGGAGGTCGGCGGTGGGTGCGTTGGTCCCGCGAGCCTCCCGTGTGTCTGTCTGGACCCGGGGGCCTCGTCGAGGGGGGACGATAGGCCACGGAGCGTGGATATGGGCCAGGGCGCCTCCCAGGCGAACGCTCCCTGCCTCTGTCTCGGCTCCGCGCTGGTGGGCGGGCCTCGCGCCTCGGCGCTAGGTGCTGGGCTAGGCTAGCCGAGTCCTTGGCTGCGGTCTCCAGTCTAGCCACCAGGGTCTGCATGTCCGGACCGAAAAGAGACGTCTGGGAGATAGGCAGGTCCAGCAGCTGCCTCTTCTCCGCCTCTCTGATGTTCGCAAGCCCAAGCCAGAGGTGCCTGGCCCCAACTTGAGCTGCTGCCATGGAGCGGCCGCCATCGACAGCTAGCGCTTGGCACATGCGCAGGATCGCCGCTGAAGTGGTCCTTGCCTGGGATAAGGTGTCTCCACTGAGTGCCTGGCCAGAAGAGAGCGACCTATCCAGGGCCCCCGTGATGAAGGCCATGTTGTTCGCCACAGCGACGACCTGTGCCGCATTGGCGTAACATCTGTCGTGCATCGCCAAAGACGTCCTGTCCCGCTCGGAGGGAAGGAGAGGTCTGGTGCCGGGCCACACGGATGCGTAGGGGTGCAGGGCCATGCGGACCAAATCCTCGATGTCCGGGACCCCGCCGGTCCAGGACCAGTCCTGCACGTTGCAGTACATACCGTAGCCCAACGCGGGCCTCTTGGCCGCTAGGGGCTTTGGCCACTCCCGTGTCGCGTAATGGACGATCGGGTCCATCCGCGGGCACAACGTGGGCTGTGTCCTCCTCCTCCCTCGAGTGGTGGCGTAACCCGAGGTGAAGTCCTCCACCCTCTGGGTCGGTTGCGGTGGCAGGGGGGCATCCATGATGGCCGCCGCAGTGGAGTAGAGCCCAGGCATGTGGTCCAGTGGGAAGCGGTCCGGCTCCGGGTTCGACACCACCTCGTCCAGCGTGAGGAGAGAGCCGACCTCCGAGATCTCTCCGTCCTCACAGTCACCCCACTCCGCGGGCACGGGTGGAAGGTTGAGTGGGGCCCAGTCAATCACAGACTCCTCGTCCTGAGAGGAGTCCGGACGGGGCGCTGCAGCGGCGTGGTACGCACGCCTGCGTTCGCTCTCCTCCCTGGGGAGAGCGAGACACGAGGTGCAGGTGGCACTCAACGCCGCATGGCCCGGGCCCAGGCACATGAAGCAGCTGGAGTGCTGGTCCGTGCGCTGGAGCCTGACTCGACACGTCGAGCAACGACGACGTCCGACGCCGGATGGCGAAGGGGAACTCGGACGAGCATCAGAAGACATCTTTTTTCTCTGGTAAAAATTGAAACTGTGTAGATCTCAATCGGCGCCAGAGTGAAAGAGGGGGTTCGGCCTTGTGCAGGGGCATTTATAGAGGAAGGTGGCTGGTGATTGGAGCAAATTATTTTGATCTCTCTGGCGTGTGACCTGGGGGTCACGAGTGATATCCCACTAGCGAAGTCCTAAGGGACGTAGCACCATGACGTAGAACCAGACGATGCCCAAATACAGGCGAGTTTCCCACAGATCTTTGCGAGTTTCAGGCAACTTCCGCTAATCTTTCAGCCCCTTTGCCGTCACAAAGCGCCACTGAGCACAACCATTCATTTAAATAGGGCGCCATCTTGGATTGCCGGGGCTTGGGCTGGGCACGGGGCTGGGGGTCGTGTGTCGTGTTGTAAAGTTTCTCTGCCCACTACTGGCCGGGCGCTAGAACTACATCGTTTTTCAACCTCATGTGAACGCTGAGAAATTTGCATTAGGAGCCAGGTCGTTTCTGTTCATAGCCTGGAAACGTCTGCGCAGCGTCGCAGTATAAACAGGGCAGAAACAGGTTTCAGAGACCTTCACTCTCTGTGGGAGGAACAGGTGCTGAATAAAGCAAAATGTATTCTGGCTCAGCCCAAACATCCTCTGATCGCTGACTTTGTAATGATGCCTTCAGGGCGTCGTTTTTATGCTCCAGCACGGAAAACAAACCGTTTTTCCAATTCTTTTGTGCCCTCTGCCATAAAACTGTTGAACTCTGGAATAAGTGTTTGACTTTTGGGAATTGTGTTGTTCAGTGTTGTTTTTGTAACTTATATTGTATAACCTGCTGCTGTGAGACTCACTGTGTGTTTGTGTAGAGTCTGTGTGTTCTGCTTTGAGTTTTTGCTGCAAATGAATTGCCCTTTGGGATAAATAGGGTTTTCTGAATCTGAATCTAATTATATATGAAATAATCTTTTGCTCTGGTGTCTTCAGGAATGACGGACAGCTTCAGCCGCACCACCTGCATGGACTTTATCGCTTCTATGATTGTATCCACAGCTAAATGAATAGGCTTTGGAAATGTACATGTCTATATGTTTATATCTTTAATTTCCTGCAAAGACTGACTTCAACAGAATGATGAACTTCGAGGAGTTCTCTGCTCTCTGGGAGAAGTTGAAGAAATACCAGGTGATTTAAACTCCTGGGTTAGGGTTAGGGTTAAGCAGCTGCGTGTTTACTGATAAAAGTTCTTTCTTTTGTTTAGAAAGTATTCCTGGATGCTGACTTCAATCACAACGGTGTCCTGGATCAGACGGAGATGGAGCAGGCCATTAAAGCTGCAGGTCAATATTATCAGTCAATACCGCAGAGAGATGCACGGCTAATTATAATTCACAATACATGTTAAAAAAGTGGGATTTTTTGAATAACTCTGTGGTACATAACATGAGCTAATTTAGGTTTGTTTATGTCTAAATATAGATCATTTTCCCATAATAAGTAAGGAGCAAATCTGAAGACAGCGGCTCATTATTTTATATGTACGTTTTAAGTCTACGTTTGTAAGAAGAATGACTTTGAAAATGTTTAAAGAATCACCTTTAAAGAGCCCATAGAGCAAAGACACATATTTATTTTCAGCACCAAGTAGGATTATGTAGTGTTGGGAATCAGCCAAAGTCTGGGATCGTGTCTTTAATTCAGACAGAAGACATGTTTTATTGTCAATGGTAGAGACAGCACGAACAACACGAACAACAGAATGCAAGTGTATTATACAGCATGGAGGCATGGAGTCCTCAAATCAGCAGCTGCCACGGTGCCATGTAGCTTGGCCTTCAGATAGACAAAACAAGGGAAAAGTACTGGCTCGCGCAAATGTAATAAGGATGAGTTTGAACTTTAACAATAGTTGCTTCAAAGTGTTATGAAATCTCACAGTAGCCTAAAAAACAACAGGAGCAGAGATGAGCAAATCAAACAGGTTTATCACAGAAATGCAGTAATAACAAACACATAGGAGCCAGTGGTTCACAGAGAGCGGGATGACCACTGTCCACAAAAGTTGATAAATGTGATAAAATAGAAGAACAGATGGAAACTAGTCTGGTGCCTTTAAGATAAAATACATGTACTCCTTTATCAACTCCCATGGGGCAATAAAGACATATTTACAGCAGAAGACTTTAGTTCAGTGTTTAAGTGAGATTTTCGATTTGCTTCTTCTGCTTTACTTCTGTTTTATTCCCTTTGTGCTCCTCCTAATGTGATGTCACTGTTGTCTTTCTCCAGGACTGCGCTACAATGACATGTTTGTACGGAGGGCCATGTTCCGCCTCACGTACGGACGCTCCGCCATGGACCTGCAGAGCTTCCTGGTTCTCATGTTTGAAATGGACCATATGACAAGTTAGTTTGACACAGACACAGACGGTGCAGTAAGTAATATGGACATGGAAATATGATTATACATTTTGAACTGTTATCTAGGCGGGACAGATATATAAGTTGTAGATTTGATTTAAAATACTAATATTACATCCTGTCTCTTTATATGTAGTTAAATGTGTTATGTGTCAGTTTAAGTTTAGTTTTTAATATTCTGGTATTGTGTTGAATTAAAGTGTCTTTTTCCCCAGTGCTTAGTTATTTTAACAGTAGGACTTGCAGAATTCTCAAACTACTTGAAGTCCCAGAGCCGTCATTTTGACTGCTCCCATTCAAATCTATTTCTGAAAATGTCACCCCAAAAACGTTTTCAAGAGTTTTATTAAAAGTAGGTGTTCAATAAGGTTTTTAAAATTTACTCACTTTTAATAAGTCGTAAAACTGGTGAAATTCAGGTTGTTGAAATGCTAATGCTAACTGCTATCAAGTAAACAGTTTGTTGCTATGGTAACCAGAAATTGCTGTTCTCTGGTAGAAAATAAGAAACTATAAAAATCCATGCAGAAAAAGTCACACATTTTGGAAGCTCCAAAATGCACTTCCTGAACTAAAACCCGTCAAAGTGACTGCTCGGGGAGATCCAGTGTTAATAAGAAGCTAGTACTTAATTACCTGTAAAAACGCCTTTGTGTCTTCTTATATTTAAGGCTTAGAACATTCTTTTTATGAGACAAAAGTGTAAAGAAGCGAGTAGAAGCTGCTTCATGGTCAGGCATGTCCAAACTCAGGCCCGTGGGCCAAATGCGGCCCACTGTGTCATTTTATGTGGCCCTCTGGTGTGCACTTTTTTATGGTTTATTTACTTATTTTTGTATTTATTTTCCTTATGGCATTTATTAGGTCATATTTAGCTGTTCTGCTTTTGGGTCCTTCCTTGTTTTAACAACGTCATCCAGCCAACTTCAGCTCCACCAATAAGTCATGCTATACCTCATTGTAAAGCTCAGCACCTTTGGAATCGCTATGACCCTAATGTAGCTGCGGTGAATCCATACACAAAGCCTGGATCAGCCTAAAAAAAACTGAAATGGCCCTCTTACTAAAAAGTTTGAACACCCCTGACCTAAGTCTTTGTTTTGTTCCAGGTTTCATGGAGTCCCACATGTCAGAGCCGGAGGGAGCCATTATCCTGTCAATAGATGATGTAAGCACAAAACTCATCAGCGCTATATTAAAAAAACAGTCACTATGTACGTCTGACTTCTTTTCTTCTTTGTTTTTAGTTTTGGAACTTCTAATGAAACCAAAGTAATCGCCACAGCACCAGGAAAGACGTCTAGATCCTGAGCTGAAAACAGTTTTTGTTTCTCTGAGAAAGTTAGTACATAAATTGTGCAACAATAAAAAGTGAAAGTAAATCTTTTGAATTTTATTTATAAACCACATTCCCATGATGCACCTCAGAGATTCTTGGAGATATGTTCAGTTTGGGCATCTCTGCTTCTGTCAGGGATTGAAGCAGAGAGAGACGGATCGTGGTGCGCCAAACTCTGGAAGTTTATTTAAGTTTCTCTCAAGTTCCACTGGTTTACTTTGTTTCTTTCTCTCAGACAGAATAAAGGCAGTACACAGTTTATATAGTCATTGTCACGTCACACATCAAAAGACATATGTGTCACAAAGAGACAGTCACATCATAGTCATAACATGGAGTCCTTGTACAGTCCTGCACGTAGGCCATATTGCTATCTAATACTAACACTTCGACTGCTGCCTCTGTGATTCGGCAACGGGTGAAGCAGATGAAAATGGAAGGTTGGCTGTTTGGTCAGTGGACTTAAAGCTGGGGTACCTAACTTTCAAACCGCTATAATAACTACTATTCATTACAATCCATCCATAGCTGTTAAAAGAATCTCATTACTGCCTCTCTCGCTACTTATTGCATTGTATTATAGAAATGGATTGGATGAGTGAAACATGTCCATCTTGTGGCTGATGTGGGAATTGCATTTTACAAATACAAAAACATTGAGTGACATCGTCTTTGCTTTTATTTAGTTAATAATTCTGCTGTGTTTGTGCAAATGTGAGCAAAGGACTAATGCACAATTTATCTCGCCATCAATAAAGTATATCTGTCCGTCTATCTGTCCATTTATATCTGTCTATCTGTCCATTTATATCTATCTGTCTATCTATCTGTCCATTTATCTATCTGTCTGTCCATCTATCTCTCTCTATATTTATCTATCTATCCGTCTATCTATATCTGTCCGCCCATCTATCTACAGATAGATGGGCGGACAGTGGCCAGGGGTGTCCAAACTTTTTAGTAAAAGGGCCTCTTTAGTTCACCAGATAGTCCAGGGGCCGACATCACGGACTGAAAAACTGTCTTGACTGACATCGGGCTGTTCTGAGCATTATGATGATCTATAACTGAGCTGAAGTTGGCTGAATGACACATGTTTATCATCTCACCACAAGCTCGTGAGACAATAAAAAAACCATTTCAGAAAAGCTCGTGCAAATAAAGCCAACGACTGGATTTGAGACGTGCTGGGCTTTAGAACAAGGTCTGTATTGGCTGAGCTGAAGTTGGATGTTTGACACAGTGAACTTATGTTTATGATCTCAAAGACTAGTTTGGGTTAGCGAGGCAGAGGGCCACATAAAATGACACTAAGGGCCGCAATTGGCTCCCGGGCCTGAGTTTGGACGTGCCTGATCAAGTCCATGTTGTCACAGTCTGAGGTTTTGTCACATTGTACAAAAGTTTGAATAAATGGGATTTGAACAGAGTGGGCGGGGGGACGAGATTGAAATCGACTCTAAACTATGAGAGACCAGTGACACAAAAGAATCCAATAAAAAGAAAGATAATCCAAACACAGGAAGAAACCAAGACTTATGCTGTGATTATGCAACGGCTGACGACTTTTATTTTTGAATAATAATTTCACAAACCAAACTCTACTCAAAACTTTCAAAACACACAAATATTCATCACATGACGACCAATCTCCAGCTGCATCCGTGACAGATTCTTCCATAGATTTGGGAATGTTTCAAAAACCTGGATCCTTTATGTTCATTTCTTGTACACATATTTACAAAAATCCCTACAGCATTTTAAACCCATCATTTTGTAATTAGTATAAAAGGAAATGATGCAATGTTTTTACAGATTCTAACCAGATCCAGTGCTTAATAAAAGGACCATAGACTCCCCCACTGCAGGACCAAAAAGGTTATCTATTTTCATACCAATATTAGCGTTTTATATACAGATCTTATTGCCCACCTCTTCACTAAGAATAATAATTTTAACCTCATATACAAAAAAAAACTGCAGAAAGCGTTCAGAATTGATGCGACCCATCTGCTGTTTCCCATTGGTTTCACAGGCCTGATTTTATGGCTCTATTTTGGAACTTTCTCCATCTTTTATACAAATATAGTCTAGTGTTGATCCACTTCCATTCGCTGATCGTATCAGGGAAACCAAGTCTTCTAAAGATTACTTACACTGCAAAAAAATTACCCAATTTGAGGTAATAATTGCCTGCATCGGGTGTTTTTTAATCTTAATTTGCGTACATTCTGACAGTCTTAACCCTAGTGCTACACTCGGGTCAGAATTACACTCCACAGATGACTAAAAGTAGAAGAAAATTGACCTAAATTAGGATCTAAATGACTCAGGGATGGTCAAGTTAGGAAAAATCATAAAAATTCAGCCCCAACCCAGAAATGGATTAAGGGGGAAAAATTGATGGATGGATAGAGGGTTTGAAATCACTGGCAGGTAAATTTGTCATTCCAAGGTAGACATTTATTGTATCTTTTTTTTTTTAAACAAGTTCATTTTGCTTTGTCATTTTTGCAAATCTTGTTTTAAGGCAGTCATAATGTGTTCAAATGAAGATACCTTTTGTCACGACGGGAGACTTTTGAAAGACATTTTGAAACAGACAGAGAGTAGAGCGCTGAAAAACATTGTAGTAGATAATGGACGACTAAAATCTATAATAGAAATAAATAAAAGTAAAATATGTAAATTAACTGGACCTGTTCGCTGTAAAAGAATTGCTTCAATGCTTCGTGAGATAATCTATATTCATCTACTTTGGCGTCAACTTTAACATCTAATTTTACATAAATTATCAGGGTGCTTGGGCAAGTCTTGAAAGTCTTAATAAGTATGGAATTTTGAAACAGTTTTCCAGACCTTGAAAAGTCTTGAATTTTGTGTGAAAGTCTTAATAAAGTATAGAAGAAAAACATGTATGGTAGAATTTTACAGTGTGCTCAAAGGCATTGTGAAATGAGAAATAGTAAGGTAGACTATAAAACTATAATTGTACTAACTGGTCACGTTCTGTATTAGCCTAATGAATGATATCCAATCAACACTAGCTTAGACTAGTCTGGCACATGTTTGTGATGTCACTGTGGAGGTCTATTGACACATAGCTTAGTGGTCAACAGAAATAGGTCGTTGCGTTCAAATTTATGGTCTTTTCGGTTTTAAGGTCTTGGGGAAAAAAAAAATCTGTTTTTAAAAAGTATATTTGGAAAAAGAGCAAGCACCCTGATTAAACGTTGAGATTTTAAGAAAGTCACAGTTGTAGGTAAGAAAGCACCAGTCCCTTTTCCAGTTCTGTTACGGCGGGTACTAAGACATTGGCTAATTATGTAATGAAATACTTTTGACTAACATTCAGATTGTTTAGATCATGTCTGTTTAAAAAGTCACATTTTGTTAAGAGTAAAAATTACAAATGTGTACATATGAATGTAGTTTAGGGATAGAACTCTGAGGTAATCTCAGAGTTCTATCCCTAAACTACAACCATTTCTACTAGCAGAAATAAAAAAAAGGTTTTGCTCAGAAAATTCTTAGTCAAAGAGAGTTGTACACATTAAGTTTATATAAATTATGAAAAGTTGTTCTTTTCCAGAGATAATAATGCTTCTAACTGACAACAGGACAAATAATTGAATCCATCGACAAATCTACTTTGAAAATATTCTCAATTCAAGAGACATTTTCCTAATTCCTTGACATTTTGCTTACTTTCAGCCCCTTCTGTCTCTTCACAAACCTAAACAAAACAGTGTTTTTTGCAATTTGCCGATTGTATTTTTACTCAACACAAAATTGAATAGAGCCTAAAAAAGCCGAACTATATCAAAGCAACCACAAGACGGACTGAACCGAAACAGAACTGATGCAAATGACCCCTGGATGTTCAAATATGAGGAAATTATTTAAACTGCTTAATTTGAGGCAAATCTTGTTTTAAAGCAGTCAAAATGTGCTTAAATTAAGATACGTTTAGCCAAATTTGAGCAATTTAACTTATTTTTCATCACTTTTTTCTGTGTATTGATAATTTATCCTTATACAGAGCTACACATTTGGAGAGAAGAAGAATATCTCATCAAATCTAAGGCCAGATATTGACTTATTTTTGTCCCCAATGCGATGATGTCCCACTTTCAGATTCGTCCAAACTGTTCTCTCGAGTCTAGGATCGAAGCAAAGTCTTTCTTCAGTCTTCCTCCTTCTCGATGTAGCTCTTGCAGCCGGCCCTCGCCATCTGCCTGGCCAGGTACCGTTCCCTCGCCGTCCCCACGCTGAGATCGGTGCTGCGTTTGGCGAACTTGCTCTCCTTCTCCGCCTCGTCGCCGTCTCTCTCCTTGTCTTTCTCCTCGTCTTTCCGCTTCCCCCCCTCCTCCTTGCTCTCCGGCTCGTGCTCACGGCTGTTCTGAGGCGTTTCCGACTCCGTTTTGAGCGTTTTAGACTCTGACTCGGGGGTTTTCTCCTCAGTTTCGATGCTCTTTTGAGGACTTTCAGCTTCGGTTTTAATATGCATTTTCTCTTGGCTCTTGTCTTTGTCCACCTCCCTCTCTTTGTCTCTTTGCCTGTCGTTATCAGAGTACCTTTTCTTGTCTTTCTCCCCGTTCTTTTGATGATGGTCTCTGGCTTTGTGCTTGTCCTCCTTCTCTCTCCCCTTATCCCTCTCCTTGTCCCGCCCCCTCTCCCGGTCCCTGTCCCTCTCTCGTTCCTTGTCTCTCTCCCTCTCCCGGTCCTTCTCTCTCCTCTTCTCGCTGCTTCGGTCTTTGTGTCTATCGCCATCGTGCCGGTCCCGGTCCCTGTCCCGGTGTCTGTCCTCTCGTTCCCCCTCTCTGTGTCTCTCCTTCTCCCTCTCTCTCCCTTTGTCGTGGTCCCGATGGCTCCTCCTCCTTCTCTCCTCCTTCTCCTTGCCGTGCTCCTCTCCGCTGCCCGATGACGGCGACCTCTGTCTGTACTGGCGTTTCGAGTGCGGCTTGTTGAACCCGAATTTCTGCTCTTGGATCTCCTCGCCGTCGCTGTCGCTGTCGCTTTTGTCTTTGGGGGAAGGAGAGCGGTCGGGCGATGTGCTCTCGGGGTCCGCGGCGGGTTCAGAGCTTTCATTTCTGAAACAAAAAAAACAAGACATTATTATACAAAAGCTCAAGGAAGAAATAGGGGCCATATTTATCAAGAGTGTGCGTGTGTGAAAAACTGTTTATACTTTTGATACTATATAATGTGTAATATTGTGTACAGTAAAATAATATGCTCCATCTCCTTGACATAACTAACATTTTTTTAATAGAAACTTCACAACTCAAAACATTAAGTGAACAGAGATCAATTCACTATGTTTTTTACTATAAAAAAATGAGAATAAAGCTAAATAGACTCACTTTGGCATCGAACGATCCGGGATGGCCTCCTCTCCCACAGTCTGGTTCAGAAGATGTCGGTAGAATCCGCTGAGGTCCCTCTGCTTCTTCACGTCTAAAGCAGCTGTAAAAACCATGACAATCTTTACGATACTGAAGCAGAACGTGTTTTTTTTTGCTACGCGTGGTCAATTACAGAGGCATTAAAACAGTTTACATCCATGTTTTGTGATTATTTTTTGAATGTATTTATTGTGCTATGGCGGCACGGCGGCTGAGTGGATAGCACTCGTCGGGATGTTCTCACGAAATAAGATTCCTAAGGTGTCATGAAGCATTTTGATGATACAAGTAAATGCTATCAAAATAAGAAGAATACAGTTATAAACATCTCTCCATGTAGTACTTTGCACATTATTTCAAATATCAAAATAAAAACCATTTTTTTTGTTTTTTCCACATTTAAGGGGAAATTCCTCATTACCGCAACATGTCCATGACTGGATATGGATCCTTTGAGATGGAAAAATTAATAATTAAAAAATATAAAAAATAAATAACTTTGGTGCATGTTATCCAATAAACATTTACAGTAAAGAAACATGTGATATTTGATGAGATTTTAGTAAATGTCATGACAATATTAAGGAATATAAATGTGTCCAAGACCAATTTTCTCATCCTCCGCAACAATTTTAAATCCTCATTGAAGTCCTCAAGGAACTTACATTTTCAAGAAATTTTGTTGGAAGGGACATAATTGACTGAGACACTCGAGATGGCTACCAGGTAAGCAGATCTTTTTTTTCCTCTCCAGGAAAAAGTCAAAATGTTGTTTGTCATAGTACCTACCTGACCTTTTTTTCTCATTACTGAAACATGAATTTGTGAAGTTGAAAAAAATGTTGCCATCTTCATCGTTTCCCTATTACATATCCCATTATGGTCTAAACATAAAAAGTGCGGGAAAGTTTAGCTAACCCTCATGGTGCTTTCACAGTTAGCAAGAATGTTTAAGGTCACTCATCCTCCGCAACACCATTATCATCCACAGCAACAATTGAGGGCCGGTTGCAGTGGAGAGACTCAATGTTTCGGTAATGAGAATGAGACTTATGAAGGAGGGACATGCTCTGTAACTCTTGCTCATTTCAATATAACTTGATATTTGCCTTTAAACACTTGAACAGATTGTGTAAACAAATGAGCTATTACAACCACCCCCAGTAGGGGTCAATAATTTCTCCTTTTTATGTAGTGCTTCCACAAAAAACTTTGTATGCAGTACAGGCCACCTACTATAAATGTAATATTATTAAATTCTAAATCATTTTACTGTGAATTTATGTGTTTTTATGTCTTTTTACAAAATGTTACATTCAATATGTAAATAGTGTATTTTTTTCCAGGCAAGCATCAGTTGAAAAGAAAAGGGCATCTGCGAAAGACAGGCTGGCAAAGCATAGGGACAAAATATACAGCAATCCAGCGTTACTTGAGGAGTACAGAAGAAAGGAGCGAGAGAGGTTAGGTGACAGAATGATACTAGGGAATAATTTGCTGACATAATTGTATATATTGTACATGCACACTCTTTCAAACACAGACATGTGTATGTGTGTTTACACTCACACACTTGTATTTATGTCAGTGCTTACTGCATTTCACTTTTCCTTTTCCAGGTATCAGAAGCGTAAACAAAATGGTCAAATTAAGACTACTCAGGACCTCACCAGTAGACAGCACGAGAGAAAAAAAATACAATGGAGGAAAAACTCTAACAAATATTACAGAAAAAACAAAAAGAAAACAAGAGCAAGCAATTCTTGATCTAACCCCAGCTTCGTCATTAAGTGAGGTGGAACATTCTTTTGCAAAAGAAGAAACCAGCAGACAGGAAATGGACTCAAATAATGAAAATCTGAACGGAACACCAGCAGAAGAAAGTTTAGACCTGACACGGCCAATGGAAGCATCCACCCCCCAGAGAACGCCAGTCATTAAAAAAAGAGAGCCGACATCAAAGATTGTGGCCAAATTAAGAGCAAAGTTACAGTATGTTGAAGAGAAACTTGGGACAAAAACAAAACAACTGCTGTCACTAATCAGAAAAATTAGAAGGCTGGAGGCTAAACCAAAAAGTGCAATTCCAAGGCTACCAGCAGAGATTTCACAAAGGGCCAGGATTAGAGAGGCTAAAAAGAGACTGCCGATCAATAGCAAGCGAAAACAACTTGGCAAGGTTGTAAGCATGTTCCTACATCGGGATGATATCTCAACTGTCATAAATGGCAAGGCTCGAGAGATTCGTCGCAAGGGACAAATTGATAGAAAAAGAGCACTCACAGACACCTTGGCAAAACTCCATCGACGATGAGAACATCCTGAGAAAACCGTGTCCAAAGCTCAGTTCTTTAGATTGAGGCCATTTTGGATCATTAGGCCTAAAGTTAAAGACCGAGAGACGTGTGCATGTAAAATGCACGAGAACATTGCCTTTAAAATAAAAAGAATGGAACAACTGGGTATCATTGAAACATCAAGCCCAGAGGATCTTGTGCAGTCCAGTGTGTGTGACACTGGCAACATGTCCTGCATGTATGGCAGATGTCAAAAATGCATCAAAAAGACCTTTCCTTCATTCTTAAATCCTCTCACTCAGGGGAACACTGTTATTTGGCAAGAGTGGATCACAAGGTCTGTAATTGTTACAAAGACCCGAAAGGATGGATCTACAGAGGAAAGGCAGACAAAGAAAACCTTCCTAGAAAATCGTACCTCATCCATTGAGCGGTTGCTGGCCCTAACAACAGAACACCTTCCTGGTTTTGCCATTCACATGTTTAATGTCAAGCACCAATATATGAAGTTGAAAGAAATGAAAGATATGGCAGATGATGCTGTTGCTGTGCATGTAGATTACAGTGAAAATTACAGCTGCAAATATGCCAAAGAAATCAAGGACACCCATTTTGGAACTGGGAATGATCAAGTAACCCTCCACACTGGGGTACTCTATCTCAGCAGAGGCAGAGTGGAAGCCTTTGCATCCCTCTCAGACTGCTTACAGCACGATGCAGTGGCAACCTGGGCTCATCTTGACCCAGTGCTAAGATACATACGAGAAAAGTATCCTGAAGCCCACAACCTCCATTTCATTTCAGATGGCCCAACATCCCAGTATAGAAACAAAACATCTTTCTATCTAGCCTCCACTGTGCCTTTTATGCATGGATTTCAATGGGTGACCTGGAACTTCACTGAGGCATCACATGGCAAAGGTGCACCAGATGGAGTAGGTGGGGCTTTGAAGAATCTTGCAGAAAGAATTGTTTCTTATGGGACCAGTATTCCTGATGCAGAGTCTCTGTATAAGCAGCTGAAAAACAATTCATCAGTGACTCTGTACAAAGTAACAGAGGATAAAATAAAAGCCAGCTGTGAATTAGTTCCCCCAAACCTGGATACAGTTCCTGGGACACTGAAAATACACCAGGTGAGTCAACATTTATATTAATTGTATGAGTAAATATGGATACATGTAGTTAAATTACTAAATTAAGTTAAATTAACATGGAAAGCAGACCATACCAGTATCCAAAATATTCTATATGTGATACTTCAGTTCATCTTTTTCTTTTTGAATTCTACTTTAACAGCTAGCTTCCACAAAACCGGGAGTCATAGACACATCTGAGGTGTCATGCTTTTGTGGGAGAAACTGCCAGTGTTTTCCCACAAATTGCCATGTCCTCTCTGAGAAAGGAAATGAGGACCCTGACAGAATCGAGGCCACCATAGAGGTTGGGCAGTGGGTCCTAGTTGAATATGATGGTGACTTGTTCCCTGGTACAGTCACACAGGTGAGTTAAATTTAAAGATTTTTGTTAATATGTGATTATTTCTGCAGTTACATTAAATTATCCAACCAAAATGTTTATACAAATGTTTCTTAATACAGATTGCTGAAGGGCAGTATGAAGTCGACACCATGACTTGTGCAGGGGAAAACCGCTTCTATGTGCCTAGCATCAGATTTCCAGGAGAAAGGGTCTGGTACTATCGTCAGGACATACGGGACATAATCCCAGAACCACTTCCTGCTACCTCCTCTGCTAGGCATTTCTGCATTTTACCTGACATATGGGCAAAACACAAAAAACGCTCATGAGATACAAATGGGGGAAAACATGATTGGCAAAAAAGCAGTGGTTCTAGTTGTTTGTTTTAATTGCTGCTGTTCAAGAGATTATTCTCAGAAAAAAGGTTGTTTTTTTCAGGACCACATGATGGCATGTTGCATTGAAAAAGTTCTCATGAAGGAACGTGTGTATGATTTACTATAATAATATTCATACTAATGGTTGTATATTTATTACACACAGGGCATGACTGAATGAATTTACAAGCATAAGATTGTAACTTGTATACACAGCACTTGTACAGTACCAAGGCATGGTACTGTTATGTTTAAGATAAATGAGAAAATGAAACAGTGTATATGAAATAAATATTTTGTTGAAAATGTATGTGTTTTAAATATATAAAATAGGGTTCGGCATCAAACCCCTTTGTTTACCGTGAATGTTTTTAAATACATCTCATTTCTGAAACATTGATCCTCATTCCTGAAATGGCTCTCTCGTTACCGCAACATGTATCTTTTATATAAATTAAGTAATGATTACATAATGATATTTTGTGAAAAAATGTATATTCATATTATAAAACAATATATATTTACGGTGTGCTACATAAAAAATGTGCATCTTATTTTTTTGTAAAATAATTAAATAAAATAAGTTGTAAATCATCATGTATGTTTCGGTAATGAGAGAAAATAAGGAAATAACAAAAGATAAAAATAATTAAAAACTTATCTTTTCAGAGTTTTGCATAGCTTTGAGCCATAGTAATAAGATTCTACTTTAAAATTAGTCAAAACAGCACATTTTTGACCATATATTTAATGTAATGTCATGTTGCGGTAATGATAATTTTTCATCAACTTCATCAAAAAATGTTAATAAATATATAGGAAATACTTTTTTAAATCTTCTAAAAATAATGTTTATAATAAGTTAATATCTTAATCTTGTATGTGCAAAAAGAAAATTAGCTTCAAGTGCCTTTTTTAAATTCTGATGTTGGTCACCTTCTAAATCTGGATTTCGTGAGAATCACCCTCTCGCTTCTCAGCAAGAAGGTCCTGGGTTCGAATCCCGGTTGGACCAGGGCCTTTCTGAGTGGAGTTTGCATATTCTCCTCGTGTCTGCGTAGGTTTCCTCCGGGTGCTCCGGTTTCCCTTACCACTAAAAATATGTACAATAGGTCTGGCATGTGCCTCCTGTACTGGCACCCCCACTCCCAAAAATAACAATTGTAAACCGCTTTGAGACTCCGATGTGCAGTGAAAAGGCGGTATATAAATTAGGGCTGTCAAACGATTATTTTTTTTAATCGAGTTAATTACAGCTTAAAAATTAATTAATCGTAATTAATCGCATTTCAAACTATTGGCAAAATTATGCCATATTTTTCTGTAAATTGTTGTTTGAATGGAAAGATAAATGACAGCTTAGTGAACATATGTACTGTATTTGTTTGTTATAACAATAAATAAATAAACATTATTAACATTCTGTCTTTCTGTTTAGACTCAGACCAAAACCATTGTTTGTGACAGATGAGGGACATTTCAAAATAGTCTGAAGCAGAATGTCATTAAATCTGTTTGATTTGCTCACACCATTACTTTTTTGGCACAACTAACATGAACTAATGGTCGAAAGGAAAATTAGGTACCTCAGCTTTAATTTAGCGAGTGCACTTTGGGAGAAGACACGGAGGAGACTGAGGCTCCGCAGTCCAGCTTCAGCGCTGTACATATTGTGTGCATCGGTTACGCAAAGACACGTACGCACACTAGAGAAGGGTTCTGTAATAGTTCTGTGCGTGGTCTTGGATATGATCCCATTACGCAGCGCCGTTCACCGTGATCACAGCCGCTGGAAGTGGGAACGGTCCAGAGCGCTGTCGGGCCCGCAGCTCATCATGCAGAGTTCATACAGGAAACTACAAGTGCCCCGCGGTCACGCGTGTGTTCTTTCAAAACTTGAATTCCCAGAGGGCCTACCTGCTCTGTCCCCATCTTACACACACGCATGTGTCCGTGGCATTCTGAGTGTTATTATGGGACGCATGGGCATGCGTCAAATGCGTTAATTTTTTAAACGCGATTAATGAAAAAAATTAATTAACGTGCGTTAACGCAATAATTACAACAGCCCTAATATAAATAAAGATTACTTACTTACTAGTCTCAGAGTTTCAGCTGCATAAATCTAATAAAATAAAAACAAAAGGACATGAGTCATCTAAATACCTTCTAGTGCTGCTTCTCTCTTCTCCTTCTCCTCCTCCTCTTTCCGCTCCTGCAGTTTCAGTTTGTAAGCCGTCGTGACATAAGCGTCTTTATCTGCAAACTCCTCGCCCTCCGCCTCACGCTCCTTCTGGATCTTTCTCTCATCTCGACGCTCCTGCTCCTTCTTTCGTTCATCCACAGCCTTCATCAACTGGTGGATGTATTTTGGCTGCAAACATAGAATACGAGAAATGTCTTTGTGGACTATTCTAAATCTAGAATTACCATGGAACAAAATTGAGCTATAAAATAAGGCTTTATATAATTAGAGACAAAAAAGACTCACCCTTTTATCTGTTCCTCCAAGTGTTTTCTTGTTAGTTTCTTGTCTTTGTTTTTGGAGGTCATCATACACTGCATCATAGTCGTATACTGTGCTGTCCTGATCCAGAGCTTTCTGCATTGCCAACTGAGTCTTCAGGAACAAAAAGACAACATTAAACAAATACAAAAGAAACATTGGTCGTTCTATTAAAAATGGGATGTTTTGACGTACTTGTTTCATCATCTTTTTCTTGACAGCTTCTTTTTGTAAGGTTTCCCCCACAGATGTCTGAAAACAAGCAACATGTTGTGATCAAAAAGCCCAAGTTTATAAGAATCATCCAGTAACACCCACCTCCTCATCAGAATCCTCTCCAAACACTGAAAGTCTGGGGAGTGCTGCCGTCTTGGACAGTCCTTTCTTCTGAGGCAGAATAAGCCCATACCTAAGGAAATATATGGGTGTTATTTTCTTTAAATGAATACGATTATTATTCGAGCATTGAGAGGAATGACCGGTCTTATGTTTCATCTTAAAAATAAAGTTCAAGTGTTGTGCTTAAGGTCATTTGTGTATGGCATAACCAGTAAGATATCTAACACAAAATACACTGTCAAAATGTTTTGCTTCAGCAATAGCATGCCATTAGCTGAACGCTAACCAACATACGAGCTACAGCTGCATATCGTTTCGCAGTTGTGCTTTTTTCGTCACTGATTGTTCATAACTTTGAAATGTCATGCGTCGCTGCACATAACACACGGAAATATAAGTAATGCGTAGATAAATGCACTTATTCTTGGGAAAAATACGATAATTGTTGGCGTTAGCCACTTACTGCTTCGAAGGGGCCGCCATCTTGTTTCCGGGTTGTAATCACGCTCTGCACATTCGTCACATCTGAGTTTTAGTTTTTGTCCAAAAGAAAAACACAAACGTTTTTTTGTTGACATAAAACTCACACAAACACACACACAGTATTTATGCAAACTGATCATTTATAATTTTAATTAAAAAGAACATCATTGACAACACGATTAACGGTGACGTGATATAATTATGGTAAACTATGTTCAAACTCAAGACAGCAGATGGCGCTGCTACCATGGATGTATTATATTAACGGCTGCTACGTAGAAAGTACAGTCTGAGCATAGAGATTAGATGATGACACCTGAGTGAGCACAAATGCCACTGTTTATGTGTGTAACATTGAGTACACTCACAATGTTCCAAACAGTAGATCGATGTACTGTATCTATTGCCACAGATGCTCTGACTGTGTAGCAGGGGTTGGGCTGGCTGCAAATGTGCGCCATTGGCCACCTCCAAACATACATGTAGTTTTGATCTGGAGGACGAAGGATGACATGATTCTATGGTGCTATGACATGATATTCATGATATTCAAGTCTGTGTCTATGGTCGAACAACATGGACAAATCATGTTCTGGGTCAAAGTTCTGGACATTCACCACTATTTATATTCTATTAATGTTCCCTTTCCTCTACTTTACCCAACCAGGTGTGAGGGCGCACTGGTTAATATTATAGATTACGTCAGGAAATAATTGACTTATAAAAGGATACATGTTCCAAATATACGAATAATAATCTTATATATATACGGACTGAGGCTTTTATATATCTCCAGCTAAGATTAACTTTGTTATTATATTACATCCTATGTGGCCTATGGCTTGGACATGACAAATAAAAACACAACATTCAGCAGACTTCTGTCACCCAGCTGCTTTGTTTACGGCACACATACGGTTAATCGGGATTGACCTGCTCTCCCAGCTGCGCATGCGCAACACAAGCGGACAGAGGAAGCAGCCGGGGAGTAGTCAAACACAGTGGAGCGGCAGAAGCGGTGGTCAAAGGCGGAGAACAGCCTCATCCCTGGCCCGGTGCGTGATCCTCCTCCACGGGACCAGCATGCTCGTGTGTTCGCCGTGGCTGGGTCCCAGGTGTCGGCTGTCCGCTCGATGAATGGCGCTGGTTACTGTGCAGCGTTCACCGACCCCCAGCACCAGCTCCAGCCCTTGCGTTTCGGTAAATACCCGTGTTTACTCTGACTGTATGAACCAAACCCGAACCACGACGTGTTTCTCTAAAGTCTACGATCATTTCAAACGTGTTTTGTGCCGCGTTTTTGCGCCGCGACTGCCTGTCACAAAGTGTTTGCCTTTGTGCCCGTGCGCATGCGTGAATTGGATCAGATCAGCTCTATATCGGCTTCATATTGGTGCTAAAACTACAAATTTTGGGTGTTTTTATTCCCCATCAGCGAGAATAGTAAATACGACGTCGATAAACATGACGTGATGCTGCAGCAGGAGATTTCAGACTGAGACATTTCTGCACAGCATATATGACACTATTTATCAATGACGTCTGCTGAGCTCAAAGCCCAATGAGAGGTTGTGTGTGATCGAAGACTTCAAAAAATCCTGTCAAACAAACGGCCAGAAGCACTTCCGCTCTTAATAAGCACCTTGTGACATGCATGAATGTGTTGTGTAGCAGTGTGGGCTTGTAAACATGGCCTTGTGCCTGCGTGGATTGTGCTCTCTCATTTACTGTTGTGTGATTGTTGTGAGGCTGTTGTGAGTCTGTTGCATGAGTGTTTGTGGCTGTTGTGAGACTACTGAGTGACTGTTTTTGTTGTGAGATTGTTGTGTCACTGTTGTTGTTGGTGTGGCTGTTGTGAGACTACTGTGTGACTGTTGTGCCAGTGTTTTGTGGCTGTTGTGTGGCTGTTGTCTGCTTGTCTGTACCTGTTGCGTGACTGCTGCTGTTGTGAGACTGTTGTGTCAGTGTTTTGCGGCTGTTGTGTGACTGTTTTTGTTGTGAGATTGTTGTGTGACTGCTATTGTGTGACTTGTGGTTGCGTGACTGTTGTTGTGAGACTACTGTGAGACTGTTGTGTCAGTGTTTTGTGGCTGTTGTGTGACTGTTTTAGTTGTGAGATTGTTGTGTGACTGCTGTTGTTGTGTGGCTGTTGTGAGACTACTTTGAGACGGTGGTGACTATATGTGTTGTTTTATGTGTATTGTGTCTCTTATCCTGGACCACAAGTCTGCTAGAAAGCTTGATGATGTTGTGTGACTATTGTGAGACTGTTGTGTTAAATTTTCTCTCCTATTGTGAGACTGTTGTGTTAATTTTTCTCTTCTAATGTGAGACTGTTGCGAGACTGTTGTGCGACTCTTGTGGTTGTTGCGTCGGGGCAGGAGGAAGCTGTGAGGAGCAGGTGTTTTCCTGTTTGCGCCGGGAGCTTCAGCAGTGAGAGACGTCCGTTCAGAGTCTGATTTCATAATCAAAGCTGCCGCTGGGTTTTTTAATCATAAGATGCGATCAGAGAACATTTATTGGTTTTCACACAGTGGGGGCATTTGTGTTGCATCGCACAGACCAGAGCAGTGGAGATTGGCCCTGAGACAGAAGGAAATAAACTGAAATCTGTATGGTTAAAAGTACTGAAGCTGAAGTATAGAACATATAAGTGGTATATAACATGCATCTAAGTCCCCTGGGATAACAGTGCTCTCTGCAGTAGTTTGTACATTATTATTTACTATAACAATGGCTAATGTTGACATAAATGACAGTGTATGCACAGGGAATGGACGGAATACACGTCAGATAAAGTTGTCAGTGGACACGCTATGATACCATAATACTTTATTTACTATAGTATTTCTACATTACTACATTACTACCAGTATTGGCCTGTGTAAACCATAATAATGTGTTCAATGTTAAAAGTTTGGAGTATAACAAATAAGGGCATTAAATTCTACTGCTGTCCCTTAAAACCCGAATTCTTTAGTTTATTATTCGTGTTATTATTATTATTTTTTTTTTATTTGTTAGTATTATTATTATTATTACCTTTTTATGTAAGAAAAATGTCTTTGAATTATAATTGATGCCTTGTTATGTTTTTAATTATAACAAAAACTCTAACTCTAAAGGCAAAAACTCAATTGAAATCTTGACTGTGTTCTTCCATTTACTTGGCTGTTTAGTCCGAATCTTTTCAAAGAGTTTAGTTAAGTTTAGTTTATTGTTCTATAGAAAGAGAGAGAAGAGAGAGTTTGCACCAGATTAAGCTGCAGCTACTTTCCATCTGCAGTCCCAGGGCAGGCGAACACACATAGATACACGCACATCCTAGGGTCCACTGCTCTTCTCACTCTACATAAATGACCTTCCCTCTGTTTGTTCCAATGTCTCCATTCAAATGTACGCTGATGACACAGTCATTTACACACATGGCAAAAATCCAACTCAAGTGGCAGATAAACTCACTCAGTCTTTGGCCCATGTTACAGAATGGTTACATGAGTCCTGTTTAAAACTCAATATCAATAAAACTGTCTCAATGTTCTTTACAAGGTCCAACGTCAAAAATTCAACAGCAGATATCTATATGGCAGGTGAAAAGTTGCAAGTGGTGTCAGAATACAAATATCTTGGAATTACAATAGACTCAAACCTAACATTCAAAACCCAAATTAACAAAGTCTGCAATAAAGTCAAATTCAATATCTCCAACTTCCGGTTCATCAGGTCTCAACTCTCTCTGCAAGCAGCAAAAATGTTCATGTATTCCATGGTCCTATCGCACATAACCTACTGTTTAACAACTTGGTCTCAAGCAAATAAAACAACACTAAAGCCCTTAGAGTCACTTTACAAACGGACAATAAAAATTCTGGACAAAAAACCAATGAGGTATCATCACTGCAATATCCTTCAAAAGCACAAACTTTTAAGCTGGGAAAATCTCATTAAGTATTCAAACCTCTGCCTCATACATAAAATAATCCACAACCAATCATCTCCCCCACTCAGTCAGTTTGTCAGCATCAGAAACCCCACATCTTTACAGCGGGTGACCAGAGGAGCAGCTCGAGGAGACTGCATAGTTCCATTTAGGAAAAGTGCCTTTAGTCAGAACACCTTTTCTGTAACTGCAGCCAAAGACTGGAACTCCATCCCAGCTAACATAAGAGATCTGTCCACTTACATACTGTTTAAAAAACATTTAAAGAACTGGTTCATTACTCAACAGTCTTGCAGTCATTAACCCCTGTCTGTATTATGACTCTTTTATTGTTTGCACTGTTTGTATTTGTATTTAACCTGTATAGTGTAGTGACTGTGTCCTACTTTGTATTTTATTGCACTGACCGTAATGTTTTATTGTTTTATTGTCTTAGGGAGACTTTTTACATCTGTCCAGGGACTACGGATGAAAAATAGCCTTTTGGCTAATTCCGGTGCATTTACAGAAATGTTGATTAATGTACACTGTCCCTGTCAAATAAATAAATAAATAAACATCACAATTATATAAACAAACATGCCTCACAAAAAAATACAATCATTAATACTTTACATGTGTTTCTAAAATGGCATAGGCTACAATAAACAATACGATAAATGTTCATTGATGCTGATGCATGATTGACGATATAAAAAGTGCTTTCTTAAATTTCTTGTAAACATTTTCAGATCTACAAAACAATTCAGACTGTTTGGAAGCCGAGGATCTAAATTAAATCCTCGGCTAAATTTAAATAATTCTATTAGTTTTTTTATTATTAGATAGAATGTTGAGAATGTTGTTTGTAGGTTATGTTTGTGTTTGTCTACATGCAACAGCAGGACGTTAAAAAGGTCTTGCATTCGATTGGATCAAACCTGGCGCCCCCCTGATAATAAATCACTGCGATACTTTTGTTTGCTAGTTTTAAACATTAAAATACATAAAAAAAACATTAAGATCTTATTAAATTTGACAGATATATCCACGCAGTGCAGGATAGATTGCATTTTAACCT